CTGCACTCGTTGCGATCGTAATTATTGTGAGATTGACGTGACGCGCACCGAGTACTTACCGTAATATATGTATATATATATATAATCGTATGACTCTATTGTCACATTATACTCATTTGTATATATGGTGTACCTTGTGCTGCAGTTTGCATGGCCGCCTGCATTGGGGTGATGAGAATGCATATGTGACGTGCGAAATTAATCATTTCTTTAACATATTTACCTACACTCCAGCTTGTACCCGCTGAGTTTTCGGTAAGTTCTAGTACTTAGTAAGTAGGTACCTATAGCAGATAAGCATGTAAAGCTGGCTGGAGAGCAATGATTATTGTAAATCGTATAGATTCAAATTTCAAATCCAACGGTTTAATATAGTTTTTTTTTTCCTTATTATAATATTGGATATCCATATAATTTTTTCCTACCAGTCCCAGCCTTGCAGCTCTACTTTAGGATAACACGATTTCTTAACAAAAAGGTTAGGTAGGTTACTTAGGTATAAGTACCATCATAACTATAGAATACTAGATCCGTCTTGACAAAAGAATCACATTTTAGACCAACATAGTAACCACATAGAAAACAAAAACAAATAATATCTCAACATAGACATTACTACATTAGTCCTCACAAATCCCAACACCTTCTCAAATTGAATATCCTACTCCCTAAAATTATAAGGAATTTTTGAATGGACACCACCTTTACTCAAACCCTGCCTTTGTATATTCTATCATAAATGTACTATATTTTTAGATTGTAAGTACACCTATTCGTTTTCTAATAAACAAAAAAAATACGTCGGACATTTTAACCATGATTGATATACCATACGTGATACGTGCGTATGTATTTAATATATATTATGCGATTTTTTTAAAAATAAATATCGAATGAAATAATAACCAAATGTTATACTGCTATAGGATTTACTATTCAGTTGTTAGTTTATTGATCACCATTCACAAATATATTGTAATCAATTATTGTACGTTTACGAGTTTTTATTATACCTAAATTCTAATTACACAACTGTTAAATTCGTGTACAAGTTCAAAGTCCAATACATATGAAATGCTTCCCAATCCTAAATAATATATGCTTCATATCGCAGATTCGTGTTTCCATTTCAAATTAATATTTTTAATTATTTCAAACCTTATCTATAATTCCATATATTGTCAGTCTATGTGTTCCCTTGCAGTGTGTGGCAGTGTATCTTAAAGCGAATATATCAATCATAATTCCTCCTTCATTTGAATTATTTTATCGAGTTCGAACTTTGAAACCTTCCAACTAAACTTTAGTTATCAATTACCTATAAGAGAAAAACGTATATTCGAGGGGGACAATGACACACTATAATGTATAATATATTTATGAATAAGATTGACGAATATTTGGCCTAAATCGACATAGTAAAAAAACAGATTTCTACGCATCTTATTAACAAACACCCTATAAATCGTTTATAAATCCAGTTCAATGACTTCCCTCTAATCATACCACATTATTTGTGATTTGCGTGCTTGCGAGTCGCAATCGAACCGACTGTACATCATATTTTCCCAAGTCTTTAAAATTGTCCCAAAGAAAATTTTCACAGCGGGAATGAAGTAAAATAAGTATTATTAAATTAGGTAAGCATTCTCAAAATTAAAAAAAAAATACAAAATATGTAGAAACTAGATATGTACTTTTGATTAGCAGTGTAATAACCTGTAATGATAAAAATAATTCATTGATTATTTCGAATTCAAATAATCAATGGACTATTATTTTTATCAAAAACATTTGATCAAAATACTAGTGTTATAATGAATAAGCACACAATAACATAATTATTTATAATTAATGGTTTCAGTTTCCAATTGATTAGTTACGTATTTTAAAACGATTTATATTTCCTAATGTTAGTCTTTTAATTTGTTTGTGATTATGGTTTAACTTAATAATAAAATTTAATAAACTTATTTTAACCAAAAGTTTCGGCTTAAAGTCAACAACCATACAACTTAATTTTTTTTAAGAGGAGCGATGAATGAATTGATCAATTTAATTTGCCTATATATATATATATATATATGTACAAACGGACAATAAAAACTGTCTGTAATCACATTTTGAAGAATTAAAAATTTGATTTTCAACTTAAGGGTTCTTATAATATATTTTTACAATGGCGACCTTTTTTTCTTATAATGAGGATTCAATTTGTTATAAACAATTTATCAAAGGATAAATTAAATTTAAAAATATTCAAAAATAACATAATTTTTACGATACAGGTACTCGTAAATATCGAATTCTCATCTATCGATTTTTGATATTTTGTTGTAATTCAATACACTTGAAATTCTTACCAAATTTTATACTGGATTTTCGATGGATCGTAAAATGTTCAAAATATTTTAACCCTTTTTAAGCTATTATTATACTTATAGCCATAGCCCATAAGTAATGTTTGATTTTTTTTTAATTATCATCGATAAATATATTTTGACGGTCCGATAAAAAAACTTGAATATTTATTACAAGGTTCCACATAAGATATTATAATAGATAATAAAATTATTAAACATACATATACATATATTTGAAGTAAAACTGTTCACTAAATTCTCAAAAAATACTTAGAATCACGAAAATTTGAAAATTATTTTGTTGTAAACATAGACATAATTTTAGACAAATAACGAAAAAAGGCAGTTCACCGACACATTCCACCAACCTACACATATATGTACCTTAAGTTAGTACGGTTTAACACTTAGGATCTGCACGTTTTCAATAAATCTCCGCTATTATACGCCTATACCGATAAAGAATACTCGGTATCTACATAATTTGGGAGCCACTACAATTCTAAATGTTATTTCCAAACACAAAACAAATCTGTTCAAAGATTTAATTAGTTGACCAGTCAGCATTCACTACTCAGTTCGATGTTGTTCACAATTGTAGGTACCTCTTAATTACTGATTTTCAAATAGTCATTTTACTAATGATTTGAATGATTAGAAATAAGAATAGGCTGGTAAGTAAAACTATAAGCTTATAGCAAAAGTAGGTAGGTATATAATATAGGTATAGACTCGATTTGAATCAGAAACATTTGTCATCAGACATCAAATACCTTATTCCAATAAAATATAAACCTAAACTATGGACGCAAACAATGTTTGAGATTTGGGCCCCTCAAATCTGAAGATTTTTATGAAAAAATAAATATTTTTCATATATTCCTATTGTTTTGTAAAATCTTCAGATTTTATTTTAGGGAGGTTGTTATTCAAAGCTTAGAGGATAGCCCACCCTCTTCCCACTTGTTGCGCCTATTACAGTATAACCTTACCAAATACATTCGTTACGACGTTACCTATTATTTATTTATGTACCTACTGTCGTTTACTTTAGTCGAGTGACGAAAAAAAATGTAGCCTAAATTCTCCTTTGAGTAGGTAACAAATGACATAAAATACATATTAATTTATCTACCTGCCTGTTATGATGATGCTGAATATTGTTTATTTGTGTACACGAAAGTATTAAGTGCCAAGGTAGAAATATAATAAAGTGCCTGTTAGACCGTATCGATTTTATTACCTAGTTGCTAGTTATTTTAAATTTTAAATGCAAGATAAGATTAGTTTTAATTGTTTGTCTTGATAGTAGATAGTAGAATACAAATGTATAACTTTATAGAACATTGAAATCGACATTTTTTATTTAATTCGTTGAATCAAATACTCTCCTAGGCAGCGAAACAGTTATTGTTATTTGTCACTAACAGCGGTAGCTAATGGCATAGAGCAGGTCGTGCAGATATGGTGAGTAGGTAGGTACTGTGTGTTTTTGAGGGCTACTACCTATGACGACTACAAGCACTGATTTGGCGACGACTAAGGAGTGTCGATCGACAGCTGTAACAACTAACAAGTTTGCATACGAAATGCTTGAAAAATCTTTAAAATTAAATATAAAATTAGGTATTCAACAAGACATAAAAATATTAGTAACAAAACGAGCAACCACTAGCAAAATATCATAAGAATCAGCCATACTAATGAACTTTGTTATTATCATAAGTCAAGGCACTGTATTTTATTTCATTCGAATATTGTTATAACACAAATTAATAATATTGCGAAATATATTTGTTTAGAATCTTACTAGGATAAAAATAATATTAAAACAACAATCATTTCCAGTTGTCTAAAATATTAAGTATACAAAATTATATTAATCTAAATATCAGTTCCCTTTTGACCTGTTGAGCAATATTGTGTGCTAATGAGTGCTAATGCTTTGGGTATATTTAAGAAATACACAAAGTTCAGACATCTGTTTTTGTGATTATTTCACTTTAATGTCCTGCTGTTATCGAACGTCCGGTGTTTATTTAACATTACAAATGATCTATTTCTATAAATATATGTAATATAGATATTATTATACATGCATGTATAAAAAAATTAAGGTTTCAATAAAATAAAACTTAATTTTAAAAATTGAATAAATCTAAAATATATATTATGTAAATGTAATTCAGTACGGAATATATAATAAAGCTTTGATTAGATGAGAATAAATAATAAAAAATACTATTAATTTAACAATTAAAATTATAAATAAATAAAACTCACAAACAATACCTAAAAATAAAATAAATAAAATATTTATGTACTAGAGTGTGTTTTAAACACTTTTGTACATATTATTTATTATGTCAGAAATAATGGTGATTTAACACATAGTCTGAAATGTTAATTAAATTACCAAATAACAAAAAATTACTGTACAATAATACACGTTCAAAATGTTTTTAGAAAGAGAAGAAGAAGATAAAGCACCACAGGCTGAAGATATGTAAAAAATAGAATGTATTTAAACATTATTTCTGATCATAACTAATAATAATTGTTAATTAATGTTACATAAGTATAAAATAATAAAACGATCAATACAATTTATAGTTGACATTGTTTCATAAAATAATATGGCTGGATTTGAACCAAAGAAAGACCGTTAATATTTGACCATACGTATCAATGACCTTTGGCGGCTTGTTTAGCTGCCATTATTAAAGGAGTCAGACTGGCTAAAGGTCTGGAAAGCTTCAAAAATGGGTGCTGTGAACATTTATAAAATACAAATTGCATAAATAATTTTAAATGTTAAGTTTTTAGGTATATGCAATATTTAAATAATTTAATAGGTAAGTAATTTTTGCTTTTAATTGCATTAGGTACTTCAGACATAGTTTTATCAATTAACAATATTGTTTTTATTAAATAGATTTTCAATAATATGAAAAAAGGTTAAATGTTATCAAATATTGGTAAAAGTTAATCTTAAAACATTTTTTCGCTATCTATTGAATATTATAAAACATGTGTAAAAACTGTAAAATGATTTTAATTGATAATGATAACTCTAAATTGTGTTCTAGATTATTAACCTACCAGTTCTCATCAAAAGATAAATTTTACTACTATATTTACTAGTATATTTTATTAGTATATAATTTACAGGGAAAAAAATAAGAAACTATTTATTTACATATTTATTATTAAAAGTCTTTAAATTTTCAGTTTAAAAATATAAATATTATTAATATTAGACAATACTAATTTAGAAAGAAGTTAAAAATCATAATTTCCAACTAATAAATAACTATTTTAGTATCAAGACTTAAAAATAACCTTAACTGTTGTTCGAAAATGTCAACAGGTTAACAAAAGTCAGCATTTATATGAGGGTTGATTTTGGATAACTTTATTTCTATTAGATGACAATATTAAGTTACAGATGTTTTCAAATATTTGTTGACATCCAGTCCATTTTAACACAAAATAAATCAGCTCACTTAAAATACTTGGATTTATTGAAACATGAATAAAACATTCCAGAGTAAATACCTGATTGTATTGTTATAGACAACAAACCTATAGTAAGGCAGTTCGGATTTATTAATGGTCTTTCTAATTATGAATTTATTGTCATTGCTTTTTTTAAAAACGACTCAAATCATAAAATTGAAATTTACGCAGACCATGAATAACTTAACTACAAGACATTGACTTGTGTTTCTTTTGCAGTGATTTGAGTTTCAGATATTTTTATTAAATATAAGTATGATAAATGTACTTAATTACACAAAATATGTAGCTGCACATGTCATTTATAATTTGACAGTTATTTTTGAAACAACTGTGACTTATGTTGTTTTTGAAACGATTCAATAATGTAAATGTGAAATCCTAAAGTGATTTGAAATATAAAGAATTTCAATTTACAGCTTGTACGTTTATACAACGGTTACCAAAAACGGTGGCTTACTACATTTAAGAAACATTCATTGTTGATAAAATTGTTATAATAATAAATGTTATATTAGCTTTACAGAATGTAAATATCTAATGATTTCAAATAAAATACAAATTTCATTAACTTACTTTTAAAAGTTCAGAGGCTGATGCACGGTCTTCAACCTCAACTTCAAGGCACTGATCTAAAAAGTCTTGAAAAATTGGAGATAATTTTTCTTTTTCTTTGATCTCTGGTTTCCCATTAGTTGCAATTAAATACAACGCCTAAATAAATATTTGTATTATATTAAAATACATCAGGCAAATAATGTATTAATTTATAATTTATTTCATACCCTTAAGGGATTTTCATTCAAATACGGTGGTTCACCTTCAATCATTTCAATAGCCATTATACCTAATGACCATATGTCTACCTTAGGACCATACTGTTTACGTGTAACTACTTCTGGTGCCATCCAATAAGGTGTACCGACCATTGTGGTTCGTTTAGATTGCTCAGGTGAAATTTGAGCACAAAATCCAAAATCAGCTAATATAAAAAATATATAATTAGAATGTATCATAAATTAATTTTAAAATTCTTTAACTGTAAGTAGCATATCCATATTTCTACAAATGAATTTATTACTGTTTGATTTTTAATCGTTTAGACTATCTAATATTTTCTTTTGGACATCAATTAAAGTTTATGGAAACAATATATTAATCCAAACATTTAAATTTTATCATTTAAACATACATTTGAGTCTCAATAACTAAAATAGTAAAATCTAAAGAAAAATAATATAAATTTTAAATGAAAATGAAAATAATAAACTAAATAAGTATTGGATTCAAATTGTTAAAAATAAAGATTTATATTTGACTATCTACAAATTATCATTTATAATTTTACCAATAAAATGTCATACATTTACATTTAATAAGTACTTACTTAACTTAACACTACCATCTAAACCAAGTAAAATGTTATCAGACTTAATGTCTCTATGTATAACTTGGTTGAAATGTAAAAACTGAAGGGCTTGAAGTACTTCTCGGCATACAGACGCTATTTGACCTTCGTCCATACAAGTTTCTGTGACAACATCTGTTAAGCTACCGCCTGGTAAATATTCCATTACAACCTAAAAAATAACACACAGATTATATTATTTGATTATATATACAGTACACTTATTATTTTTAAAAAAACATTAACTTTTATGAAGTAGATTTTAATTTGGAAGTATTCAAATATTATAATTTAAATAAGATGAGTATCAAAGATACCCCATTACAATTTGTGGAGGACTATTCCACTTACCGACCAAACATTTAATTTGTATCAATAAAAATTATTTGTTCAACATAGATAATATTTTATATTAATACATCAACATTTTTAGCAAAATAGCTTTTGATTATAAAATCAATAATAAGATTTGCCACTTAAGTATTAAAAGTTGAATTATCATTATGTCACAAACAAATATAAGGATAATTAAAACAAATAAATAATTAATACATCCAATGATTTCCATTAAATAAAATTGTGAAAAAAATTACCTTGAATATGTATATTAGAAAAAAATACTGGAGAAGTCGCTTTGCTGGAAGCAATTCAAATTATTTTTATTTTGCATTTTCCCATTTTCATGTATTTTTTTTTCGATTATGTCGTTTTTACATATATTAAGTACACTTTGAACATTTAAACTTCAAAGTATAAATGATATCAATTTTTTATATTAAACAAAAAAAGGACAGGAAAAATGTATAATAGGTGTTGAGTGTTTTTTCTCTAAATAAGTCTCTAGAATGGATATGTTAAGGGGATGTCACACTTGCATGTATTGACTCCATCTCGCTAATGTACAACATACCAAATTTTACATTAAAAATAATTCATTTTACTTTTTTAATATTAATATAAAGGTTATTATGAGCATTTAAAAATGTACAATTTGGTCTGTCTACTTATAGTAATAGGTTGATCTAATTTATCCAAAAACAAATTAAATAATAAATAATATAAAAATATTTATAATATTATTTCATACATAAGGAGCACAGGGAGTAGCATCTAGAATATGCAGCTATCTAATTTATACCCCCAAATGTAGAACCTTAGTGTTGTAGTTGTGTATAGTGTTATTGTTGTTAGTCAGCAAGGTTCTTTCATTTAAAGTACGATGTTCAATTTAAATTTCATTTTTAATACCTATAATTGTTTAAGATTGGTCTAAATTGTGTTAGGTATTGAAAAACATAATTTCAGTAAACGTGGATCATTTCAAAATTTTACAATTAGATAGTATTTTTCAAATTATAATAAATTAACAAAAACTGACTGAGAATAAATTGTCATTGAATGTTTGAATATCAAAATTAGTCAACATTTGAAGTTCAACGGTCATGAAAAATGTATGAGGGATGTATACAAAACATTTTTTTAATTTCCAAAAAAAAACCTGAGAGGCATCTTATAAAGCTTTAGGAGTTAAAATCAAAAATTTTATGAATTTGTAACTAAAAAATAATAATATAAATATCTTTATGATTTTGACAAATATTGTAAAAAGTGCAACTTTAAATGCTTACAAAAAAAAACTGAAACAATTCTTAAAGTTAAAGATAATATCCTCAAAAGGTAATGGACCCCCCTTCTCCCCCCCTCCAAAAAAAAACAAAATAAATCCAGTACAATTATTGTTCTGTTCAGAAACTAAATCATGTTTTTTTGTTAAATTAATAACATCCTTTCGATCAGCATCCAATATATATACATATACATATAAGATAACTATGAAGATATATTCAATTATTTTTAATTATTACCCAAAGTTCATCTTGTACTAAATAACTATCTAAATAGTTCACAACATTTGCATGTTTATTTTCTCGCATGACTAGTATTTCATTAATAATAAGCTCTTTCTTTGGTTGTTGACCTAAATTCATTTGTTTTATAGCCACTTCCATACCAGTTGACGTTTCAATAGCCGTATACACTGTACCAGATGCTCTGTAATAGTTATAATGATTATGCAACTTATTATTACAATATATTCTACACAATCCAACAAAATTGTAACTTACCCCTGTCCAATTTTTTCCATCTTGGTATATTTTCTATTTGGATCACCTACTGTTACAATTGTTTTTAGTTGTTCTAATATTTCATTATCAGCCACTTTTTTACGACTAGTGGCAGTAGTGTTATTTTTATTTTTATCCAATACTGGAACAGTTCCATTAGTTTGACTAGGCCGGTGAAGTGGAACCGGTGAAACTACTTTAGGTTCTTCTTGGGTGATGGATCTAGGCTCATCTTCTTCTATTGGTTTGGTATACACAGATTTTGTACGTTCGGGACGTACAGATACAGGTGGTGGAGGAGATGTTTGTTCATCTGTTGTGGGCGTTGTGGTCAGTGAGGGACTAGTGCTACCTGTCGATGAAGAAGGCTGGCTACTACTGACACCAGAGTATGATGAACTACCTCCACTGTGTGCACCACGCACTAATACTTCAGTAGGGGGAGTACTATTTTGTACTGGATAAAGATTGTATAAAATATAAAATATAAAATTACTATTCAAAAATATTATCTAAGTAGAATTCATTAATTACCAATATTTGTGGCTGTGGTCATATACTTGGAAGTTTTCGATTGCTTACTGGAGTTATCAAACCAATTAAGCACATCAAGAACAGCTTGAGGATTCTTTTTTTGTTCTTGTTTGCTTATATTGGATGTTATTAAAAGTCGAGCCCATGCTTCTGGCATACCCTACATCAATAAAATTCATTTTTAAAAACAATTGAATATATTTTTAATTTTAAACAAATAAAATGTATAAATTCACAAAAACAATTTATATAAATATGTCCCACTATTGAGTATTAAGTAAAAAGTAATAATCAAATAATATACTCTATTTTGGTAAACATACAAATAATAAACAATGTTGATAAAGAGTAATGAGAAATTAATTTTATAAAGTAGGATTTTTTAAAATTTAATTCATTTTCAGAAATTATTAATTAGCTTATATTTTATAAATTTTAACTCATTAACTAAAAACTATAAAAAGAGCTCATAGTTTAAATTGTCCATAATAAATGACTTCATTTTTTTTATTTTTTCCACAGTAATAATTATATTATTAAATGTATTAATAAGCAATGTGATTTTATGCAGTAACTACTAAAACACCAAACACATTTTATGTCCATCTATGCTACTCACAAAGCTGTTGATGTTACTCACTTTATATGGCAGCTTGAAACAAGAAAAAACAAACACAGAATTCTAGAGACATTTGTCTATTTATCAGTATTAGTTGAGTGATTTAAATTGATGCGTGCTAATAATGTTATCAATTTTTCCAAATATGCAATATATTTATCAATTATTACACTATGAAATAGTTCTAATCATAAAATTACAAAATGCACAAAATACACTCATTTGAATATTTTATACATGTCCTTATGTAAATTGTATTTATTTAAGATGTAAATAAGAAGTTAAGAAGCCTATCATGTAAAGTAACCCATCAAAAATATTTAATTTATTATAATAAGCAATTGCATTTTAAATTTTGATTTAAGGTATATAACATCTAAGTATTACAATCAATTAGATTAACAATAAACTAATTTATTGGTAATTCCTTGAAAAGTTTTCTATTCTATGTTACATAATAAATGTGAAAACACAACAAATAATGGAAATACCACTTTACGATACTCCAGCATTGATTAAAAGATTTTTGACCTTTGACATAACAAATATGAGTACAGGATTTCAGTTTAATAAATAAGACAAGTAGTCAAAAGAAATCCTTGAGAAAAGGTATTTTCGAGTCTTAAATATTAAATTTGAAACATGGTTCTGGCATTATTATTTCTGGTATTTGTTACCTTTGTCATGCATAACATAGTAAATTAAAAATATTGTAATAATTTATACAGTTTTGTTACCTAAAACAGTGGCTAATAATAAAATATCAAGATATTATCTTTATTTTTTTATGAATCATATAAATTTTTGTCGTAGGTTTTTTTTTTAATCTACTATATTATTAAAAATAACTAAATTGTTTCGATTACACTAAAAATAAATATTTACAATTGTATTATATGAGTTGCCTATGGACAAAGTGAATTTTTGATCAGAATTCTTGTCATTGTTAGTAATAGTACCTATAATGTGAGACATTCTTACTTTTTAGACAGTATATATTAGAAGATGAAAAAACTATATCATTATCAGGGTTTAGATCATTTAATATTTATTTATTGTTATGGCATAAAGATAAAGAAAAGTAATCTGTAAATTTGTTTTAAACATCAAGGGACCCAAATATAAAATGTTCTTTTACATATTTTAGGAATTTTGGAAGATAAAAAGTGAGCAAAAAATATTACATTACTCATTGTTTTAATTATAATTACAACACATATGCATAAAAAATGTATTAATTTAATGGTTCAATAAAATTTAATGGACCAACTATGGGCCACTAAATCATATTTAGAGGACTATTAGCTCACTATTGATTAGTTAAATGTTTAGTGATTGTTCATGCAACCCGGCACCAGTGAAGCAACATGGTGACCTCAATGTTTTAACTTTTATTTAGATACTATTTTCTATATTTGAAAGGCATGTCATAGGGGAATAGTGCATCCCAAGATTTATTTAGTTACACTATAGCACATATTATAGTACTTTTTAATGCTAGGTAGAAAGTCTGAGTCCTAATCAATACATTGTAACAAAAATTTGAGTCAGTTTACTAGGGGATCTTCTAACAATTATAACACATTACTCATCAGATAACAATGTTAAAAAAGAACAAAACTTTTGTTTTAACTATTTAAAATATATTTATTAACACTCTTGCATGAAGTCCTACATAAATTCAAATTTGTACCCCTTCTAACAAAAATAACAAGTAAAAAATCATGACTGAATTTGTTAGGTATTTCACAGTAATACTACATTTTGGAAATTACTAATAGGTTAAATTAATTACGATTGATTTATTTTTACACAATCAGTTTTAAAGTAAAATTTGTGATCAGTCTTAGCTTTTCAGTAGTAATATAACCATACATTTTTTTAACACATTTGTATTCTAAGAATCATATCTAATGGTTAAATTAATTCTAGTTTTTTAATATTTATATTTTTCAATTTGACTACATAGCAAAGCATATCTTAGCAAAATTGTAAATAAAATGTGCAAATTAAACTATACATTAGCTTTCTTTTATCCATATGACCATATATTAACATTTAAGAATGATGATACTTACAGTAAACTCGCCTGTATGCGCATCAAATCCTACATGCATGGTATGTTCAAAATTAGTCGGATAAGATATTTCGGGTTTATCTTCAGATCCAGTACCCCGTGTTTTCAGTTTACCAGTAACACGGCTTTTAGAAGTTTTCTTTTTATGGTCAGAATCTGGTTCTTTAGGTAAGGGCCGCATTATATCCAAATTTGGTACCGAATCTCCACGAGCAACTCTAAAACTATTATACATTGTAAAATATATAATTCACAATAATCAATTTTATTATTATTATTACCTGTTACTCGTGAGACGGACCGGGGGAGCTGGTGGCTTGTCATCATCATCTGACATTTTTAAGAATTATATAAAAAAAATGACTACTAACTGATTGGCATTAGATTGTTCTAAAACAATAGACAAAAAAAATTACAAAACATTTTGGTGAAAGACATAATTAGTCTCCAATGATAGTTATTTTTTAAATATTTATTGTTTCTGACTCCACCTAAACAAACATTAACTATTCACTATTTTTAGATTACCTTAAACATGAAAATTCTTGGGCCCATAGGTGTGTAAAAATGTAAAATAATCGTTTAATGACAAATTATCAACCATGTTATGTCGTAATTATGTATTAAAACTATTTAAATCTAGCATAAATTATAATAAAAATTTATTATCTAGTTAAAACGAATAATAGGAAGCAATATAAAAAATGAAATAAATATCATAATATCCTGTAAAGATTGCTGATGAGTGATCCTAATACCCAAGATTCATTATCGCAAAAAATCATATCATAATTTTCGTGTTTTGTTGGTTACACTGAACTATGATAGATGCAAAGACGTATTACAATTGGGCGCCAAATTTAATTTAATTTTTACTTCCAAGAATGTCAAGAAAATAAGATTTAAAATAATTTAAAATATAGGTATTACTATACATGTTGTAGGATTGTATAAAATGTATAATAGTATAATATTATATTGTACTATAATAGTTTTAAATGTATTTATTATTATACAATAATTAGGGCTTTAAGGGTTATAAATAATAATTATCTATGCATACAGCTTAAATACATTGAAGCAACTAGGTACCAAGTGATCCATTAACCATTTGACGAAGACATTAATTATTATTCCAAAATCTAGTAACATTTTCAAAAATATGTTTAAGTCTATGACTTTAAAAATGTTCTTTTTTAATACATTTTCTGCATTTTTTTAGCGTCCTAACTTTTTTATTTTATTTTTTTACTTTGTTTAATGACAACCGCAACCTACCTACATTTTCAATTCCCAATTCCAAAGCAGAATATATTATAGAGTACTTCGATACATTAAAATTGAATTTTGAGTCATGACTTGTAAGTACTTAAGTTTTAGTTAAGTGATGTGAACTTGTAAATTGAAACAGGGGTGCCCTACAAAGTTCAAACTACTGGTCAACTTCTGCGCTCATCTAAACTTTAAATACTTAAAACTAATAAACTAGTTACTTGTCCAAAATTCGATTCTTATAGATCAAAATACTCTGAATAATATTCTGATTCGGAATATAAAATATATTGTCATTCAAAAAAGTAAAAAAACTTACAAGTAAATTTTTTTTCCTAAACATTAAGTTTCGTAACGACTTAAAATGATGTAAGTACCTGCCTAACAGATAAATAAAATTACCTAACCTAATAAAATATAATATAATAATAATAATAATATAATAATATAATTACCTCACCTAACGTTTGAACTAATGAGTGTTTTACGCTAAATGGCCCACTCTATATTATTCTCTAATACTATCTATCCAGGTCCAGGAGTAGTGTTCAAACAGATCCTCCTCTACTGTCGGTTTAAACGGAAAAAAATAAAATAAAATACTATCTATCCAATGAAAGAACACACCAATTCTACAAGTGATCACTATTCACTATAGGTAACTCGTCATCGAGATGAGTTCCAAAAGAAAAATGAAACTAGTTGGTTCAATCAAAAAAAAAGCGCGAAAAGTGGGAATTTTTACGCACAACCAATTTTTAACAAAAACAATTTTATTTTTTCAGTATAACACAAAAACATATAACCGTAGTATACAAGTATACCTACTTAAAATTTTCACAAAATATTTATATTAGTATTTTCCATACATGATGGTTTCTATAGATAACTTTTTTTAAGCTATTTATAGCTATGAAAACTTGAATAAAGAATACAACCTTATAAGTTGTTTTAAAAGCAATGCAAAAATATTAAAGATACATATGCACAATTATTTTGTATAAACCTACATTTAAAATTCATATTTTGACAAAATTCATCAAAATCTTAAAAAATGTTTAATTATTTTTCAGGTAGAAATTCATAAAAGTTTAGGAATTTCCACAAGTTTTTCTACCTTTAACAAAGAAAGAGTTCGTCGGAGTGTTATTCTAATTATAGCCATGAGATATTTTCAATTTTTATTAATTTTTTATTAATAATTATTAAATTAGATCATTTATACACATACCTATGCTAGGATGACACATAATCTTCGCTCAGAATCTTTTTCGGCATGCAATGACTTATCAATTATCATCAAATTCAACTATAACACATCCACATTTTTAATAATTGTAACCAATGAAATAGTGATGGGTAACAACAATAACTAACATGTGTAACCTAGTACTTACTAAATATTAATTAACACAATCGTATAATAATGGTTATAGGTACCTGCATAAAATATTTCTATTTCATTTATTACAGCAAAAAATTTAATATTTTCATTTTTAATAATATAAAAAAACTAAATGATATTGTATAAAGATTTTTATAGATTTAATATCTATGCAAACATTCTTGCTTTTTTTATTTTTAAATGGCAAAATATATAATTTTGCCTTTACATTTTATGAAAACTAATTTTTACAGAAAAACAAATGTATAAAATATTACAATAATTTTGTATAAAAGATCATGAAAATAACTGATTTATAAATATATGTTCCTTTTACTTATTATGCTTGTTATATTTTTTGGATTTTGATAAACTAATCAGTACTTATGTTTTCACTGTTTTCAGAGTCATCACTTTTCAATTTAGCAACATGTTTTTTAAATATTGAATACATTTCTTCAATTTGTTTTTGATTTTCTTTCCTATGAAAACATTATTTTTAAAAAATCTACTTTTAAATATAATGTTAGATCTTATAACATTGGATATTTATAAGAAAGGTTAGTATATTAAATTTCCACAGAAAAAAACATTAAAAAATGTTAATTTTTACGATTCAGGGGGATGGTTCTCTATATGTTATAAAAGCAATTAAAAATATTATAATTTTTTTTAAATAAACATTAAAAGTTCAAATGTTGAAAAAAATTGTTGAAATCACGAAAATGTGCAAATAACATTATAGTTAGACATTTATACAATTTTCAATATTTGTAACTGAAAATAGAAAATGTAAAAGAAAGTTTCTCATAAGTAGTTCAAACTGTTCACAGATTCATACTGTCACCAAAAAATCTAAAAAAAATATATAATGATAGTTTTTTTTTATAAACACTTTAATTTCAAATTTGGTAGAAATTAGATATTTCATTAAAGAAAAAAGGATTTTTGTTATTTTGTTGTAATTTATAAGTATTATTTGTGGCAACTTGAAACTTTTTAAGTATATTATTATATTTTAAAAACAAATGACATTTTCCAAAAATGAATTAACTCTATTGTATTATTATAAGCTAATGTATAATAGTAAAATAAATTAGGTACTTTAATAGTAGAAATATTATCATACAATGTTCTTGGTATTATAGGCTGATGTCTGCTCAGAACCGTTTTTCATTAACAGTTAGTTTAAATCATTGAAAAATTCAAAATTAATACATTCATTTCAGTGACCCACCACCCACACAACGCTTAATGTATATAGTAGTCTGGTACCCACTTGCCTACTTTAATTTAATTTCAATTTATCAACTTCAGACTATAAATTAAATCTATTTAAACTTTAATCATTTATTATTTGTTGACTATAGTTTTTCTGCCCAACACTGGTAGTTAATGTTCTTTAATTTATTTTAGTAAAATAATCTTTGAAAATAATTAAATGAAGTATATACTAATATTTATAATCAATGGTATAACTATAAAAATTACTAATTACTTACCTTTTTTCTTTAAATGTTTGATATTCCAATTGAAATTTTTTTTCAAGATTTAATAATTCAGTTTTATGATTCATATTAATTTCATCTATTTCCATTTTACAGAGTTGTAACTGGTGTTCTTTTTCAACAAGATTATTTTTTAAAGTATCTATTTCTTTCATTAATTTATCAGCATTTAGTTGTGCGCTTGTTGTTTGAGCTGCCATATTGTTTAGATGTGTTTCGTTTAACTTTATCAATTCATTTTTAGCTAATTCTAAATTATTTTGAAGTACTCTCACTGTCTGAGTAGCTTCTACAGAATGTGTTTCTGCTTCTGCTAATTTAATTTCTAAATCTGTTTTTTCTTTATGTAAAGTCTTTATCTTTGTACTCAACAAAACTAACATCTTTGTCTGAAATAAATCAATGTTAAATCAAATGTTTGAGTTAAATAAGTACATAAAATAAAAGTATACAACCTGTTTATCAGAAATATTTATTTCTTCTTCTTGTGCAATTAAATTGTTCATATTTATTTTGTGATTAATTTCATTTGATATTTTAAGATGAAACATATTTGTAAGAAATAATTTTTTAATACCTATTAATTCATCTATAAGCAAAAGTATTAAATAGTAGTTAATAGTTAATAATTTGTTTTTAAGTAAGTAAATAATAATTGTAATTTGTAACCAGAATAATCTTTTATATTTAGTTTCGTCGAAGATTTCAGATTTTCCCATTCTCCTTTTAATATGTTTAATTCATTGGTCAACTTTGGGAAGGCTTCTAATAATAGTTGACTTTCTTTTTTTTCATGTAAAATTTTAATAGTATAGATTTTTTTAATTTTTTTTATAATATAAAAAATTTTTTCTAAGTCCTGGATAAAAAAAATGTATGCATCATATTATTAATTTTTTAAGTGATATCTAAAAATCTAAAAACCTCCAAAGAATTCATGTTTTCCATATCAGAATTTGGAACTTCATTGCTTATTTTTTTTATAAGTAAGTTTAAACTTTGTTTATTAAAAGACGCCTCAAATTTTAATTTTTTAACTTGGTTTGAAATTAAAATATAATTTTCTTTTTCTTTTAAACTATTGTTTTTTAATTCTTCAATTTCCTGTTTAAGTTCTTGATTTTCTAATTGAAAAAGTTGTAGTTTTGATTGTAATTCACTATGAATATTTAACATTGGTATAATGAATTATGCTGATTTTAGTTTTAAGTATGAAATAAATATGCATTTTACTCGACACTGTTATGGCATTGATTGTTAAGAATTTTCAATTGTGTTTGATAGTTTTTATCAACCGATGCTACGTGTTCAAGCAGACTTAAATTCCTGATCTGAACTTCATTTTGGTTAATGGAATTAATTGATTCATTTTGTTTTAATTTATTGGCTATAAATAAAAATTATCATAATCATAATAATTAAGTTTACAGATTATTTATTATTATTTATAATATTTTATATGTAAACTGATGCACTATAAATAAAGTGTTAAAAGAAAATATAAATCATACATAATACTCGTATAGGTATACAAATATATAATCATTAACTTATTTTAATAATTATGATGCAAGTACCAAAAGTTTTCAAAATGCATTAAAAAAAAATTAACCTATTTTGGTGCACAATACACAGAGTTTCTAGATTACAAATATTTAAGATTCTAAGCAAAACAAAATATTTCTTGTATTTTTAAAAGGATATTTTCAATACCTAGTACTTCCCTATTACTATTGTTATTTGGATAGGAATACTTTAAAATTTTCACAAAGGTTAATAGCACAATTGATTGGCAATAGTATTTAGTAGATTTTTAAAAAGATATTCTTTTATTTTCTCAAAAGCTATTCTAAACTTAAGAGGACATTGCACTTGTAATCTGCATGGGTTTTCTCCGTCTTACACACAAATGACATACCGAATTTTTGTTCACCGATTTCAATAGAGTGCTGTTAGTTTTGATATTAGAGTGAATTTACCTATTATCATCTTTTGAGTAAGAACATTATATGTGTTTTCTCTAGGGTTTCTTATGATATTTTTATTTTTAAAAAAACTTATGAGTGTCTAAAATATTAATAATTGAAAATGCTCATAATTCACTTAAAAATTAAAACATTGTGAAAAACCAACGAGAGTACTCAAATAATGATCTTATTAAAAAGTTTGATAGTAAAAATTATAATACTATAATTTATTCATTCTAATATCAAAACTAACAGCACAGTTTATTGAAACTGTTGAATGAATTTCCTATTTTATATGTGTGTAATACGGAGACAACATTTGTAGGTGCAATTTCCTCTTAAGATACAGCTACCAACATTTTGTAAATTAAATTTTCAATAATTTGTTTATAGATTTGACATATTATAGAAAATACTATTATTTTTGACATACCTATCATAGAACACATTTCCACAGGCACAGAATTTCCTTGAATGCTTAATTCTATAAGAATCTCATTGTTTTTTAAAGATTCCAATAATAATGCTGCTCCAGTTTCACCTATACAATTCCAACTTAAATCTGAAATGAATGTAGGTATCTTATATTAAAATGTAAAACTTAAAATAAAAAAAGTTCAAAACCATATTTACACGGGAACTTACTGGAAGTAACTATATACTGTATAATTGACCTGGTTTGAACAATTTTAAAGGCTATTAATCCGGTTAAAGTATAAAAATGAAGATTTTAAAGCAGGATTATCTGCTGTATATTAATAAGTATTAAAAATTGAATATAATATTAATAATAAACATATAGCAATTATTGTTGTAACATAAAATTTAAATTCCAACCAAGTTTTGAAAAATATTAATACATGCCAAAGGCCAATAAATAGTATAATGCATATTGTATACTATTATGTATGTTGATCAAAAAAATTTGATCATATTTACCAATATTCTTTAAGCATTTATTTATGGTTATCATTTTAGCTAAATGAAAACCACATGTTTGACACAGGTTATTATTTGCCAAATTTAAAGTATTTAATACTGTATTTGACATTAAACTATGACATAATTGGGAAAATGTATCTTCTGAATCACCAATGTTATTCCAATCCAATTGTAGTCTAAAATTATTTATAAACAATGCCATTTCTATATTTTATTATCTTATAATATAGTAAATCAAGCTAATAAAATGAAGAAAAAAAACATACTCTGTAATATTAGTATTATTCAATAATATTTTAGAAATATATAGCGTTAACTTATTTCCAATTTGATTTCCTTTTAAATATAATTTCTTTAAGCTTGTTAATTTACTAGCCAAATCTAAAAAGTTCTTCAAACCACTAGCTGGTAGTAAGCAATCAGATAAATTCAACACTCTTATTGTCGGGTTACATTTTATCGTTTCAACTATCAGCGAACAAGAATTTTCTGTTATTGTAGTACTTTTTAAATTTAATTCACCATGAACACTAAAATCAAAATTAATAAAATTAACTCGTTTTTTTTCAGATTCTGAGCGGAGCGATGAATTTATGGATTTTACAATGGTGTGCGTTTTTTTATATGTTTAATTATTTGTGTGTCTGTCATCACGGTTTTGGGCAGTAAAAGTATTCGATTTTCTGTAACAGCAATTTTTCTGGTAGGAAAGTAAATCTAGTTGGTGCATTCGGGAGGTCAAATTTAATATTTCTCAATCGTTTTCAAAAGCGATAAGAAAAACTGGAATTTTTACGGTTGACCAGTTTTTGAAATAATCGATTTTGGTTTTTAGTGTAACTCAAAAAATAACTTAATGACTGCAGATGCATGAAACTTTCATTGAATGTTTCACTAGTTTGTGTTGACATTTTTTATATAACATACAATTTTCAAAATATTTTGACTTATGTTGAACTATTTATAGGCATATGAAATTTTCGATTATTATTTGTTTTTTTCAAACTAATGTCGATAAAAATTTGTTCGGTCTATCAAAAATCTTGTTAATGTAATACAAGGTTCCTCATAAGTTGTTGTTAGTGGAAATTAAAAAAAAGTTGAGCGTAAATATCCACAATAATTCAAGTAAAAATCACGAAAATTAGCAAATTATTTTGAGTTAGAAATACATAAACATTTTTCTTTTTACAACTAAGATTTAAAAATGTAATACAAGATTCTTTATGAGTTTTTCTACTTTTATCAAAAACAAAATTTCTACCTGAGTCAAATTAAATTTTTATAAACGTTTGAAGTTGAAATTTTTACATCATTAGATGTTCACTCGATTTCCTATGTAGCGATTTTCTCATTTTGTCAATTTTATCGGTTGGGTCAAAAAGCATGAAAATTGAATACAAGACTCTAGAATCTCTAGATATATTGTAACAATAGCAGTTTAAAAGTATTAAAAATATATAGGTACGATTTTTTTTTTTTTTAAAGCATTAGAGTTCAAATGTTGACAATATTTTTCAAATGAAAATTGAAAATGATTTCGTAGTTAAAAATGAATACAATTTTCAATTTTTATATCTAAAGATTGAAAGTTTGAAACAAGGTTCCACTTAAACAATTTTTTTCCGTACCTAACTAAAAATTGTAAAAATTCTATAAATACAGTTATTTTTTACAGACATTTTAAGTTCGAATTTGGACAAAATTGTATATTAACGCAAAGAATAACGTTTATCATTTAATACGGTTCAAAAACAGTCCAATATTACATAGGTATATTAAATTATTTTCCAGCATCACTGATAATTTAAGAATAATATTAATTCAACTTACCAACTACCTATCATATAAATAATAAGTAATAACAATATAAAATATCCTAGACTAACAAACAGCCTCGGCTAAGAATCATTTTTCGTATACAAATATACAATGATATAATTTCATTGAATCCAAACTTAATACCATCTATTACAGCGACCTTTTATATGATATACCACCTAATGTACAGCAGAGTGACATCCACTTACCCGCTTTTTTTTTTTTTACCTTGCATTGTATAGACAGGATTCAATAAATTGGTCAGCAGATATTTTGTTTTTTAAACATAATTTTCGATAAATATTGCAAATATCTGTATTCATAATACTGGTGTTATAACTTATAATATATATCGCATACGTCAAATTAAAGTTCAATGATTCATTTAAGAACTTTGTTAATTTATAATTTATGATTATACAAAAGAAACACCAAAAAATGAATGTCTCAAAAAATAATAATATACCTATTACAATTATTAATTTATATTTAATAAATATTATAGTCAATATTACAAAAATAAGTTCGAACTTTAAAAAATAAGTTATGATAACTGCTATTTAGTAGTAAACCACGGGGCACGAATCAAAAGGATCTATATCCATGGACCATGATTTATAAATAAACATTTATTATTTTTATTCTATGCATAAACATCATTATAATTTATAATGTCTATGATTCTATACCGTTGTTCTCATAATAGCACAGAATAATTAATATCCAATAATTATAGTCCAATTTATTCGTCTAATGGAAAAAAAGTTTATAAGACTATTTGGAACATTTTAAATAAAACGAATATAGTTGTATAATATTATAATCGGTCAGTATAATATGTTAGTATTGAGTGAAAAATAAGTAATTAAAAGCATAAAATCTACAATTCACATATTATATCTAATATACCTACGAGTCAGTTTGGTGTAGAAAATCATGTCAACCATGAATACAATTATGATGAAGTTTATTATTATAAACACAGTGATTTTAAACAATAATAATTTTTAAAGATTAAACAGACATATAATTTTATCTGTATCTATGGTTTTCATTCTGTAATCAAATTTTTAAAAGCAATGATAATAATTGATAAAGCATAAATAATATGTATAAATGTATAATATAATATAATAATAAATATTTGTAATTTATATTTTATGTTAATTCAGAGAAGTATAGAACTAGATATTCAAGTATTCAACTATTTTTTTTTATGGTTATTTATCATGAATACGTTCACGTTGTTAAACTTTTCAAGCGTTTTGTAATTTAGAATTTACAAATAGTTTTTAAAATATTTTTGGGTTAATAGATTTTATTTCTAAAATGCCCACCATACTTGAAGGTGGTCCAGAATACAATAAACTTATATTTAATTACGATCGTAGTTGGACTGATGATTTACCAGTTTGTAAAGTATCAGGTATGTATAAAATAAATATTTTTTTCAAAAACACCCTATATCATAAAAGTATATTTTAGGTGTTGGATACTTAACTCGTCAAAGATATGATGAATTAGGTCAACGCCGAGAGGAACTGGAATCCGAAGACATCAGTCTTCGATGTTGTTATGATGATGCAGGTGTTGTATGGTTGTATGGACTATTTAATGGGCACAATGGGGCAGAAACGGCTCGGTTTGCTCGTGATCGTATTGCTGCAGAAATTTTATTGGGCCAGTTACCTGCTACTGAAATGGATCAAACTGCAAAAGAAATAATTCAGTAAGAAATAAACATTAGTATTATAAACATAAATTTAAATACTTTTTAATAAAAAATTATAAAATTATAGACAAAGTTTTCTTTCTGTTGAGGGAACTTATCTTGAAACCATTGATAATAAATTACTTCAAAGAGCAAGTTTACTACTTCAACTTCCTGAAGGGATATCACATTATGATGCTTACCAACAATATCCTCAAATTGTAAATTTTATCTTGATAATATTCAATATTGCTTATTGTAAAAGTTTTAAGTAATAAATAGATTTTTTTCAGATAGAAAAATTAAAGGAACTTGAAGAAGAATTATCGTGCGGTACTGGGGCATCTATAGCAATACTTAAAAATAATCGTCTGTATGTTGCAAATGTCGGAGAAAGTCGTGTATTGTTGTGTAAAACTGATAAAGACGATGTATTGAGAGTGATACAGCCTACAGTTGATCATAACTTGACAAACTTAGATGAAGTGACGAGACTGACAAATCTTGGACTTAAAATTGCTGATGGAAAGATCAATGGTTGGATCATTAAAAATATATCTAAGAATAGGCACAAATTGATAAAACTGTTTAGGTAATAGAACAATTGGAAATCAATCATCAACAAGATGTTTATGTAATTACATGATAAAAGGTGCCTATAAAGACTACGAAGAACTTAGTGCAGCTTCAGCTGAACCAATTATAGCTGAACCTCATATTGTTGGAGGTATTTCTATTGATTCATCATACAGGTAAAATGTTTCAGTTATTTTAAAAATGAGAAAATTAATAAACATGACATTTACAGATTTATGATGATTGCTTCTCCGGGTTTACTGAAAACTTTAGAAGAAGCCACCGGCACTAATCAAGTGAACAAAGAGTTAGCACTATTAGTAGTTGAACAAGTAAATACATTCATGTGTGATTCAACAACCAATATTACAATTATTATATAATTTATATTTACCATATTGTATTTCTTAAGTTACGAGTGCAGTCTACATTAACTGGTGTCGCTCAAGCTGTTGTAGATCATATAGCTAGAATATATCATGATACTTATGAAGCACAAGATAATGCTACTGGAGCTACTCGTCCAAATATTATGTTAATGATACGTAATTTCAATTTTGCAATGCCTAATGCAATCACCGAACAACAACACAGCTGGAATGGCTCATATGATCAAGGTTGACATCAACTGTATAAAACATTTAAATTGCTTTGCTTAAAATATTTTTTTTTCTTCAGATACTGCTGTAAACTTGACTGAAACTACAACATCAACTTCATCTGATCCATCTAGCGGTTCAATCAAAGCTATACTGCCATATGTTGATTTCAGTGAATATAATACAAATGTTGATAAAGCTAAAGCACAAGGCAAGCTTCCTTCGAATATCAACTTTTTCTATGAATAGATCAAAATATCATTTGGATTCACTTTTTAGTTCAGTAACTAAATAGTGACTTGGTTAATGTTATTATATAGATTAATTTTATTTTTGTATGCTGTTCTGTTCCTAACATAAAAAAAATATATTTAGGTTGATGGGTACTGGTTTAGTTGACACCCACCGAGAAAGTGTTCTCCCACCACTCAGGTTTAGTTGATGTCCACCACCTATATCACTCGTATTTTTGATGTTCTACTAATTTTTATTTCTATTGTCACATTAAGTTAACTGTAATGTGTATATCAATATTGTTGGTAAGCATTGTAATTTGGCATCCCTTCAAAAAATGAAGTAGTAAACTTGCTCTTTGGGGTAGTTTATTATCAATGGTTTCAAGATAAGTTCCCTCAGCAGAAAGGAAACTGTCTATAATTTTATAATTTTTTATTAGAAAGTATTTAAATTTTTTGTCAATTATAAAAATGTTTTTTTGAAATAAAAACTATTTTCCACAAATGTTTAAGATACTATGTAGTAATATATTCTAAATGATAAAACTCTTAAACCTAAACGTGTATGTATTTATAGTTAATAGTTCTATAAAATATGAATCACAAATAAATATATTATATTTATTAAGTATACTTTATCAATTATTATGATTGATTTAAAATCTGATTACAGAATAAGAATCATCTATCTAAGAAAATATAATATTATAAAGTTATAACTGTGTTATTCAGAAAATAAAACTATAACTATTTACTCAGTAAATATTCTCCCGTACATGTTTGTATACACATTAATCATTATTAATTAATAGTTATGAGTTGAGCAAGGACTTACATGCATTTGCATGTTTTTTCTGGTTTAGTTAAACGAATGCAGAGTAAGTTCACAATACTTTTCACAACGATTGTGACCAAAAGCTAAAAGTTTTTAGTGCATATTTGGACATTTTTGATTGTAAGAGCATATTTTAAGCTTATAGTGCATATTTTGACGGTTTATTGAAAATCGAGCACTTAGGTGAATATTTTCCATGAATCAAGGTCAACAATTTGTTATAAACATATAAAGACGATAGAGATAAATTTTATCTTGAAATAATAATAATGGTCAGTATTTACTATGTCTATTTTTGTATTTTTATTTAATGAATAGTAGGTACGTGGGATAAAAACGATAGTATAAAGTATCTTTTGTCAGTGGATAGATTAGATTAGTTCTAGCAGATTTGCCGCGTGTGTGTAAGCTCTGTGAGTTTTTGTCACTATTAATATGTTAAAAGAAAAATCGACAAAAGCTTATTGTTTGAGTAATTTTGTAATCGAGTTTGATGAATCTGTATTTTCAACAGATAATAATTAAGAAGAATGGGATCCAACATTTAAAAAAAATTACAAATCAATTTAATAAAATAAATGTAGTTAAGACTTATAGTGAATAATAATAAAATTAATTTTTTAAGGGCATATTTTTAATTTTTTGATGCATAAGTGCATGTTTTTAAATGCATTTTTGATGATTTTTTAGTGCATGAAAGTCTTTGCTCTAGTTATAAAGTACCTAATTAAATAACAAAAAATTATAATTTTATTTTATTTAATATTATTTAATTATTATTCATTCATAGAATTACATAATATTTGATATTTTATGTGTAGATAGTTAATTATATTCTAATAACTACATTAGTACCATTTTTAGTTTAACTTATGAATGTAAATATATGCACTTTTGTTTAAAATAAAATGTAAGTTTTCTGATTGCAGAAGTTTAATGTTGAGGTCTGAACAAAGTTTAATATTTAAAATGCTAGAACTCCTTAGCTCCCATTATAATGTATATATTGATATATTAAAATGTTAGAATTGTATGTCTGTTTGAAGCTTTAGCAGCAAACTTAATGGACCAAATGTGTTTGCCTTTAGCCCAAATTGGCATTTATAATTTTCTGGTTTGGTTTTTACTTAGTATTAACCTTTGATTTTCTATCATTTATAAAGTAGAAGGCCTTTCTTCTGGAGTTTAGAACGAGTGGTTTGTTATTGGCAGAGGTCCCATGTAAGGTGTTGCAGTGTTGGTCAAGAATAAGTCATAGGTATTCAGCACTAGATGAAATAACAATAATTTGTTAGCCTAAAATAACACATTTGATATACAAAAATGTTAACACATTTTTTTTTTTGTAAGAATGTTTTAGATTATTTATTAACACGTTATAATATATACAAATATGTGATTGAACTTAAATATTTATAATTTGAAATTTGGATAAATATGATTAACACTAGTATTAGAATTATTTATCATCCTCATCTTCTTCTGGTTTTTTTGAAGCTTTATACTCTAATACTGTTATTTCTTTCTCTAATGTATCAAACGCCACTGAAAATTTTAACATAAGTTGTTCGTACCTATAATAATCATACAAAAACAAACATAAAGAGGTATTGTAAAGTGCCAATGATAAATATTTTTCATTTCACCTGAATAATAATGTGTGTATGTGTTCAGTTTGTTCTTTAATTAATTCACGTTGTTTGCGTTCGTTCTCAACCAATATTTCAATTTCTTCAGTATGTTTGTCTATTTCACTGTAATACTTATCATTTAGAGATGGCCATTTTTCGTTAAGCTGTTGGAGTTGTTGGGAGTATCCAATTATTTCAGCTTCAGCAGAAAGTATAACTTCTCGTTTAGATAATTCCGGTTGATAGTCCTCATAGAAAGGATCCATCAACTTGTCCAAAAGTCTTACATGACTGAGCAAAGCAGTAGCATATGGATGACCAATACATGCATTACCAATATTATTGTCAACTTGTTTGACTTCTTCAAGAAGGCTACCACTTGGCAAAGAAGCTTGTGCATCTTTGCCTACACCGTATACTTTCAATTCTAAAGCAGCAACACATTTTTCTAAAATTGAAATTTTGTCAGTTTCCATAATCTGAAATTTTTTTAAAAAAATCATGTTATATAATTATACATGCGGCAGTTATATACTACAGTCTATAGAGACTAGAGAGTTAAGGTTATGAGTGTTATTCAATTGGTTTATATTAAAAGAAGTAGTTAAAACTAAAACAAGATTCCACTCAGCTTTGAATGTAACTATTACCTACTATATATTTCAATGATCTATTTTAGTTACTAGACTAGATTCAAAAAATATCAAAGAATTCCTAATCTTTTGAAGCTAATTGATGGCACAAGTGGTAAACATAAGTTGTACGAAACCAGGGGCGCCTGCAGAGAGGGTCCAGTGGGTGCATTTTTTTAATGAACCAAAAAATCAGTGTGTAGTAATGCAAATATGTGATTACTTATGTATGTATCACAAAAATTTAACTTTGCAACCACTGAGCTGATTTTCTGCGGGCGCCCCTGTACGAAACAGTAAACTTAAATAAAATATAACATAACTAAATGCAATAACGTATCAACGGACAACGATGGACATATTATTAAATTCGTTAAAATTGTAAGCCAACCTCGAATATCGACAGATAAATTATTAATCAATTATATTAGACGTTTAATAATAATAATCATTTTTTATTTACCTTTGAATGTTCTATAATAACTACGTAAAGCTGAAATGTCGACGTCCAGCAACAACCACCAAACAGAAGAAGTCCAAGCACAACTGATAATAATATCAGAATATCACTGAATAAAAATAATATTATTCACGACTTGTCGCTTATCGCCGTCGGTTTCGCGGTTAACCACACAGCGTGCGTGTAACCATATTAACCGTTCGCCCGTCCGCTACACGGGATTCGGCAGCAGCAATAATATGCACAGACTGCTGTGCCGGTATCACGAAACACGATCCACGACGGGTTTCCGGTGTAGTGTGTGTAACACACGCACAGTGTAGCGTGTACGTATTTACGTGAGCGTTGGTGCCACAAAAACTGCGGTGCGCGTAGTGCGTACGCCTGCGCCCCGACTTGTTTGCCCGTGTGCGTTGTAGTTGTAGGCACCACAGGCGCTAGTGGCTATAGTCTGTTGTGTGTATTTATGTTGATGTGTGCGTGTGACGCGACTAAGCGAGTGAACGTCGTGTTTTACGCATTCGCACTTGCTCTGTGACAGTAGTAGGTATCGCATTATTGTTATCCCTCTCCCGTGTGTGTGTGTATGTGTACGTGTGTTGTACTGTTGTGCATTGCTTGTTCTCCGACCACCGTTTAGGGCCGCAACGATTTCGCGTTTTGTCCACAACGGTTCAGAGGAACGTTTTTTTATTCGTTCAAATCGACCGGTTCCCGAGACCGGAAAAGCGCCTGTCCACTCGTCGACCGACGAGGCGTGTGTACTTGTCGTTGAGCTTTTCGATCCATCGGCTTTGCCGCTCTCGCAATCATAATTCCGTCGTCGTACCCTAGGACAACGGTGTTTCGACTTTCGAACGTGTGAGACTTTATACACCCGCCATCCCCCCCTGACAGCCGTCGTCCCGTACGTGGATCGCCGGCTTTCGTGTTTTGCACTTCAGGCATATAGTAAAATAATCGCCACGACGGACCCCGACGCCGACACCGACACCGGCATGGAGAAGAGAATCGAACTGGAGAAACGCGGCCGGAACGCCGAAGAGGTAAAAATGAACTTAGTTTAAGTTTTTAGTCGTGTTCGTCAAACATGTATTTTTCAAATTCGTACAACGCGCGCGCGATCTCTTGCCGCCGTCCGGCATGCTTGTATGCGTGTATGCGTGTGTGAGTGTGCGTGTGCGTGCTCACTGCTGGCGGCGTGTTGAACTTGAACCGCGCGCAAATCGATTGAAATGGTATCGACGGCGGGAATACTTTCAATAATAAGAACACATTACAAGTCCTTCCGTTCAATTAATAATGTGTAATATCGAGACACTATGTGTTATTTATCTTGGGGTGCGAAAGTTTTTGAAATTATTAGCGGTTTGGTCTTCGTTATTTATCTCCAGATGTTTCTGGTCGGAACGGTGTTCTACGCCGTTTGAAAATTGTCGCTAACTGCCGCGCGGTTAAGTGTACGGCGTAACCTCCGTTTTCGTGTTATACGTATTAATATATTTTTATTTTTTGTTATTATAAAAAGATATTAATCGACGATGCGCCTTCGTCGAGACGGTTTTAATTAAGCTATCGACATAACGACGAAAGCGATTGGATGGACAGGTGTCTGTGTGTGTGCGCCGTGCGCCGTGCGCGGGCGCGCAAACGCCATCGAGCATTCGAGTCGAGACTCGCGGGTGACCGTGTACCTACTACTTACTGTGTGCGCGTCGGCGCGTGTGCTCGCATGTTTTTGTGGGGGAGCGGTAAGGGGGGTAATTTGGCCGGCGGCCATGTTTAAATTTTAAATACCTCGTCGCCCAGTGTTTTTTCACTTCAAATGCGTTTATTGGATCGATCGATCTAATATTCCGAATTATTGATAAATTAAAAAACTACACGACTATAATAATATTTATTTGTACATATTATATTATGCGTGGCGCTGACCCTCAATAGTAGCGCAATATTATAATATTTCAATCCCCTACATCATGTTTATCCGTTCAATTTTTCACTGACTAGTGACTATAGTGTAGGTCTTTACATTTTTGTGTACACTATTATCTCTTGCATAATTTATTGTCCGAAGATAATTAAAATAAATTATAGTTGTTCAAACTCACTTAGAGTTGTTAATCAATGTCTGAAGAAGAATAAAGTCTAGGTACCAATAAGTAACTTGAAATACTTTTTAAATGGTCACTATGAGCAATATGGATAATACATATGTTTTGATTATTATAGTTGATTGGTTTTAAAATTTGGTGTTTGATAATTTTTAGGTGTATTCCCAAACAAAAAGTTTTCAAGTTTCCCAAAACATCTAAATAGCGCCTTCTTATAAGCAAAGATTTGATTGAATTAAAGTCTTTAGGTAGGGTTGAAAGTAAAATCAATAAATAATTTTAATTGTCGGGGTCTAGGCCCCCTTTCCAATGTTTGTTATTAATTGGTATTGTATAAAAATAATTCATTGAATTTCTGTGTCATTTTTTTTTAAACTGAATAAATTGTTCTCAATTTTACTTTTTTATAAGTGAATCCTCCTTTTTCTTCAAATAAACTGTGATTTGACACGCTACTTTTTAAAAATTACCATCAGTGTTAGATTGCCATCTTAGAGATATGCCTAAAAAATCATTTTATGCTTTTATGCTATTTTAAGTATTTTATAACTAGTCCCTCAAAAATAAATATATATATTCCATTTAATCATTAGGTAGTAACTAGTAGGTACTGAATAGTGATTATTTTTTGTGAAATTGCTCAAAGTATAGCATTATATTGTATTCATCTATACTGAGATTTTATTTAAACATTTAAAACTTATATTTTCAATAAATTGTGTATTTTTTTAATTTGTTTAGATAGATCAATTGATTTTGGATGATTGTCGTAGCACTGCAATTGTTGGCCTTACAGATGAATATGTTGGTTTACGCAGTCTTAGTATAATCAATGTTGGTTTAACAAGCTTAAAAGGTTTTCCAGCATTGCCTTCGCTTGTTTTTGTAAGTTGTACTATTAAATTAAAATATTATAATTTGCCATTTATTTTATTGTTATTAAATTATTTTTAGTTGGATGTCAGTGAAAATCGAATTTCCAATAGTCTTCAAAACCTCAGTCGTTGTACTAATCTCAAATCGTTGAATCTCAGCCAAAATAAATTGAAAGATATTGAATCAATTGATCCATTGGTAATATCATTGATACTAGCAACAACAAAAAATTTTACCAACATTTGAAATTTAATATAGTATATAATATTCTGTATTTTTTTTGTTATATATATGTATATATAGAAATCTTTAAAACGTCTTAAATATTTGGATTTATCTAACAATGAAGTAACTAAAGAAGAAGGGTACAAAGAATATGTAATAGAATATTTTGCCAAGTCTATTAAATGTTTAGATGGGTATGATTTAATTATTACTATCCACAGTTTATATCATGTTGAATTTAAATATTTATAATTTTAGAGATACTTATTTCAATGGAAAACATGATATGGCCGGTGACAGTGATGAAGAAGATTCAGAATCTGAAGGTAAAATTGACAAAGTGCATGTTTATTAATAATGTTTGTATTAAGATGGATAATTAATTATTTAGCTGAAGAAGAAGGTGAAGGTGACGATGACGACGACGATGATGATGATGATGATGACGATGATGATGAAGATGATGATGTTGTTGACCGTGATGAAGTTGAAAAGGAAAATTTGTATACTGACGATCAATCGTCTGATCAATCTTCTGATCAATCATATGAAAATGGTGAAGCAGGTTTGGAAGCTTTGTTAAAAGATGATATTGATGAAGAAAGCGAAGGAAATGATTATGTATTAGATGAAGAAGATGGTGTAGATCAAGATTCTACTGATGAAAGTGATGATGATGCAGGTGAAGCCGATGCTAAAGCTGCTAATGGTACGTATTTACTTTTTTATTAGCTAACCTAAATTTGTCTTATTCGATATTTGTATAGGCATGGACAAATGTTTTCAAACAAGATGATAGATGGACAGAAATTAAATCAATATATATTTTTTTATGAATATGGTGATATTTATTTCTTTTCGATATTGATCACTATACTGCACAATAGGACTTAATTAATTTTCCCAATAATCTGATTTTTAACTTACTAGTGAAGAAAATTATATCATTATTATGTTTTAAAATATTGTATTTTGTTGCATTCTGTATTTATACAATATTTTATCATTGCTATGTAGAGCATATTTAATATTTTTATTCCATACAATTATAGCTAATTATATGTTAAAGTTAACTTGGCATAGCTTTAACATTGATTTTATAATTGTTGTGTAAGATCAGTCTATAGAAAAATAAAAAAATGTTATACAGTAGACACCGCGTGAAAGACTCAGTCGCTTCTAAGACTCAAATTTTGTAAAAAAAAAAATTGTAGAAAATATACTTTTTTTAATTGATTATTACTGATTTCTAATCATGCCATATACCAGTGGTTTTCAATTGGTGGGTTGTGACGAGTTTTCTTTTTTAAAAATAAAAATAATACTAAAAATTATTAATTTGAATAAGTTATGAATGGATTGAACAACCATTTACAGTTAAAATGTCTACTGACATAAAATATAAAAATTGAACTTACTTGTGATTTTAAACCTAAACAAATGTTAATTGAAACTTCTTTGGAAATATTTTGACCATACTTAAACGTGGGAAATTACTAAAAACTAGCAGCTAAATCCTTTTTTTCATTCAAAGTTGACATGGGTCTTGAACATTTATTTATAAAAAATTGTGGTTTATGAGTCAAAAAAGTAGAAGATCACTACCATATACTATTTCATACAACACATTTTATTGCATTTTAAATTAATTGCATTTATTATTGTGTATGTATCTATGTATTTTATTTAATTAATAATGTATACTAGTAGCAAAAAAAAGTTGGTTAAAAATTTTTATTTTCAGCATTTTGTGCTGGTCTCAGTGTGAGTCTTGTAAGCGGGGTCTACGGTACTGTTATAAGGTTTTAAAGTAATGAATTTTAATCCTCCCAATTATTTAATTGAGGTGTTCTAAAATACCCCCCATAGTATTGATTACACAAAACAATGTTAAACTACTTAAAATTGTATATTAAACAATTAGGTATTTGCCATTAAACATTTAAATTATTTAACACTCACTCATAAGCTTTTCACAGTAGGTATATAATTTTATAAAATAATCTGCACTAGTTGCGGCAGCCTATTCTTAACAATACTATACTGTTAATAAAATCAAATAAAAATTTACTTAAAATATCTGTCATTTAATGCTGTTCATTTAGGAACATTTAGCTAACTTATTATGTCATTGTCCTTATGTTCTATGCATCATTGTATTATGTTTTACATATCAATCCATTATTTAATAATCATAAACATTCATCAATCATAATAAAAATTAATATTTACAGATTCACAAGATACTAGAGGGAAAAAGAGAAAACTTGATGATTAACCTATTGAACGTTTTTAATTATTGTTACTTGAAGTGGAACAAATTGTATGTATATGTCCCCACATTTATTTTTAAGTACCAACTTAAAACCATTTTATTATTTTATTTGTAAATTGATTGTTTTAATAGACATATTTTCATGTTGTACCACGCAAAACATTTAACTTTTTTTGAATTTAATAATGTTATTATACCTTTCAATTTTTTCTCAACACAGCTATGACTTTGGATTTGCCCAGTAAAACTTTATTCATTTACTTGGGTTGGCTTTTTTTTTTTATTTCAAAATTGTTTTAAAGACATATTTTTTTAAGTCTATTTTTGAACATCTATGGAATGTTTATACAACTTGATGATCCCGTTGTAATTCATATTGTATCTGAAGACCAAATAATAAGTTATTTGTGTGTTTATAAATATATATATATTTTTATTTGTCACAGTTAAGTTATTAACTATTATTATTATTTTTATTTTTTTTTTTTTTAACTTTATGTGACTGATTATTTTTGTTGTCAGTATGAATTTAAAAATTAAAATTCTCAAAGTAATAAAATAATATAGGTAGTGTTGTACAGGGTATAAGAATTATTGAGTATTTAAAAGTTAATAGTTACTGGTTGGTGGAATAATTATATAATACATTTATTAAATATTTCAACTGTTGATAACTACCCTTTATTTTTAATTTTTTGAAAACTATCACTTGTATTAATATGTGAGTATAAGTTATGTTTAAAATAATTTTTACTGCAAATAGTATTTAAGAATGGTAAACATATATAGTTAAATTAAAAATGTATGTTATAGATTTTTTATAACTGTTTTAATATATTATATATTATATCAATGACAATTGTTTTTATTCAAAATTATAATACGTTACTCATTCATTTATAGTTGTAATATGTGTCATATTTTTGTTTTTCATTTTTCATTAATTCCTCAATAGTGTATTTTAATTGTAAGACTGTTGCATCATAAATAATTGTTCATAATTTTTGGTAATAATAATTGTTTATTTTATTTATTGTTACTGATATTTATACCTCAATATTTGCATTCCAATAACTTGGCTTTTGTACATTAGTTAATTTTCAATAGTTACATATACATTTTTAACAATGTTATCAAGAATTAATAATTTTAAAACACAATTTAAATAGTGCATAGTATTCCACCACCCCAGTTTGTACATTTGTATGCTCTATATTTCTTACGCCCTATGTATGAATTATTTACATATTATATTGTGTATTAAAATCAAACAAATTATAATATTAAAGGAAGAAGTAAATCTTTGGATGTTCTCGAGTGTAAATAAATATTTTTATAATATATTAGATGAAATATTATTTATGATCTTATCAAAAATTCTAATATTTGAATAACATAATATACATGTTTTTGTATACAAAGCTCAATAATACAATTATATTTTAGTGAATATAACCTTTTGTTAACACTTCAACAACATATTAACAAAGTATCAATTATAACATGTTCATCCCAAGTTGTAAATTAGTAAAATTTACAATTTCTTAAAATATCTAAAGTAAAATATATGGTGCAAAATGTTTTTTAATGATTTGGATATTGTAATAATGTTGATTCTATTGTAATGTATGTGTAAAATATTTACAGTTTACTGTCAACAGTTACTTAACATTTTTGATGTTGTTTTCAAACACTAACAGTTAAATTTAAATACTTAATGAACGATGGTTTGTAAAATAATAACATACTTTTTGAATGTTTTTTATGTGTGGTGCAGCAGTGTTTGCCAACCAAATTTGGATAGCAAAATTTTCTTAAGGGATTGCAAACATTACAATACAAAATGTTATGATTATACTAGAACATATTACAGTATAACAATACACCAAAATTGTTTAATGGATATTCTGGCAGAACGTTCTAATGACAGGTTACCATATCAAAAAGGTTGGGAAACACTGGTATTGCATAGAAAATAATTATTAAGATAGTCATGTTAACTTGTAATATGTTTGTTTCATTTGATTTTTCTGTGTGTAAATTATAAACAATATTACAAGAATTCTGGTCACAAGAGAATCAATGTGTCATCTCATAAGCGTTAACAGCACATCATTTTATTATATTTTATTTTTAACTATTTTAATTTACCACTAACTACTTTATATTATGACAAACCTTTTTGTTATTGTTGTTATAAAAGTTTTAGTTTAATTTATTTTGGTAGACATAAAATAAAATAAACTGTTTATACTAGATTACAATATATATATATATATATATTTATATAACTATTTTTTAATGCATTCAATTGCAATCTTCAGTTGTACATGTGTTAAGTAATATTATTATTCAAATTAATATTTAAGTAATGTTTATAAGACAATGTTTATTATACATCATTGTTAAACTTCTTATTTAAGTTATTTCTGTTTAACTTTGCTTCAAAATTGTAAAGTATTAAAATTATACATGAAAATGCTGTTTTACAGCATTAAAAAAAAAATACTGCTATGTTGATTTAAATTTTTCCAACAAAATATGTTTAAAAAATGTAAGGTAAAACCAATCACCAAAATTTGCTCATTGTTGTGTTCTTATTCAAGTTACATATCAAAGAAAAAAATGAGTATTTATTAACACTTAGTGAATAGATGATAAATGTTCTAATCTCGTGTCAGATGATTTTTTTATTTTCGGCACCATGCAATCATTTTCCACAAATCAAATAAATATAAAATCATACTAACAGATGACCACTTGATTTTATCCAAAATAAATGTTGAACTAAGCATATTGTGGCGTGGTCTCAAAAAAAATTAATTCATTCAGGAAATTGTTTGTATGAATTTAATACACATAATTGATGAAAATAATATTCCTTATTAATTTTTTTGGTAACTAGAAATGTCCATTTTCTGGTATTCCCAGATTTTTATTCTCCAATGGTAACTGGTGTTATGATATTAGTATATTTTTTCAGTTAATTATGGACTAATTTTAAGTATTAGTTGAGTTGAGGAATTAAGTAATCAAAAAAAAAAAAATGTATAGTATTCCAATTTTAGCTAAAAATATAATTGTTTGGCTAGTCCGTAAGTAGAAATGAATCTATAGTAAAAACTACACGTGCAATCTCTTTAGTAGTTAAACAATTGACTTACATGTCAACTATTCATTATTATGCTGATGAAAATTACATTTAATTATTATTTACTAGTTTTCACTAATCATACTTGATGCATATTTTTCATAATTTCAATTGTATACATAAATTCAGTTTTAAGGTATAAATATTCTTAAAAAAACAATGCAAATCTATTCATTTAAAACAGATATATATATATTTAAAACTGATGAACATATTAACATTTTGTTAGATTTTGCTTTATATTTAAATAAAACAATAGGTAAGTGCCAATACAAAAATAATTTGATTTTTCAATCATTACTACAAATTTAATAAGTATACAAATAAAATTAAAACAATAATATATTTCTGCCCCCAAACAATAGTTATAAAGAAGAATATTATTTCTTATAACAATAATATCCTTCGCCAGTCTTGACACCCAATTTTTTTTCACCAACCAATTTCTGTAACGATGGTAGTGGGTTGAACAATGGATTCTCAGGGAATTTTTCATGCCATCCGCCTAAAATTGAATTAGTAGTATCGTGTCCAACATAATCAGCCAATTCAATAGGTCCCATTGGGTGTCCTGCACCTAACTTCATGGCTATGTCGATATCTTTAGGAGAAGCATCACCTCTCTCCATCATTCTTATCGCTTCAGCTATCAATGGAACAAGAAGTCTGTTGACTACAAATCCAGGAGTGTCCTTACAAGTAATGGCTGTCTTACCAATAGCTTTTGCCCAAGCCATTAATTTTTCATAAGTTTCGTCAGATGTTTCTGGAGTTCTGACAACTTCTAATAATTTCATCACTGGTACAGGGTTAAAAAAATGTAAACCGGCAAATTTGTCCTTCCTCTTACATACAGCTGCAATTTCACCGATAGACAGTGATGATGTATTGGAAGCAAATATAGTCTTTGCTGGTGCTATGTCATCTATAGACTTAAAGAGTTTGTGTTTGATAGATAAGTTTTCAACAATGGCTTCCAACACCAAATCTGAACTTTGTACTACATCAGCTATGTTTGTGGAAGTACTAATTCTTGATAAAGTTTCTGAAACGAAATTCTCACCTTCTTGCGGTTTTTCCTTGTAAACCTTTTTAGCGACTCTTTGTAAGCTCTGTTGAATGCTCTTATGAGTTTTGTCTAAAACTTCTTGGTTGAGCTCAACAATTGTCACATTGTGACCAGTTTGAGCAGATATTTGGGCGATACCAGAGCCCATTAAACCACCTCCGACAACGGTAACATTTTTAATAGCTGCACGAGCTACAGAAGAACTTGAGAAGTTACGAGAAATTACACTTAGACACGACATTTTTATAACTTTTGAGCAGGCTTTTTGAGAAAATATAATAAGATGTAAAATACAAACGAACCCGGAAGAAGGAAATATATGATAAAATTTACCTTGGCACAATGTCACCGTCGATATAGGTAGTGACTAGTGAGACTTGAATGTGAACAGTGAACACTAATACACTATAATTATTACTTATAGTATTAAACTTGAATAAACTCGATAAATTACCAGTGTAGCTTACTATTAAAAAAATAGTGTGTTGCGTGGTACAGCTGCGACTTGCGAGGCTACTCCTGTAGATTATGACCATTGACCATGATTATGATGTATACTTATCACGGTTTGTCTTCCGGTCAGAATATGATAACTGCAATACTGCATATTTAATTGCCTATTTATTACTTATCAAGGGGTTTTAATACAAATTGTAAAACTAAATTAATAAATAATAATATGTACTTATTTTTTTAATAGCCAAAAATTACCAATTTATTATTTGAATTGGAAGGTATCAGTCGGTGTTCAAATCATAAATAGTATCAGAATAAAAATATTCAAAAATAATACGATTTAATTTTTTTTTGATTTTGTAAAAGTAGGAAGCTATAATTAATAAATGATAGAATTATTGGTCTGTTTGAAACATGGTTCATGATTTGAAATGCGTAATATGACAAAAACCAAAATAGTTTATAGTTTAAAATTTAAATAAATTATGTTAATATAAAATATTAAGTAGCTGCACTGTTATTTTTATTCTGTCCAGCCTAACCGTTTAAAACGTTCAATACAAATAATAATATCGTCTATTAAAGAATAAATTCCAAATGCAATTTAAATTAAATAATTGGTTGAATATTTAAGAAAAAGAAATTTATAAATCAAGTTGCATGTACTTGTATCGTACATAATGAAAATAAAAGATTAATAAATGTAAAAAGAAAAACCAGACTGAAATAAATCCCAAGTGTTTATCAGATAATTCAAATATTTTTTATCAGTAAACACCGGCTTTGAATTATTATAATATCACTGATTAATATATTATAAACACGATTGAACAGAATTAAAGATTAAAGAAGTTGTTTATAATCGTAAATATAAATTATAAACTATAAACAATCACTGACAGTGATACATTGGACTTCAATATATTATACTTCATGGTGCTTTAAAATATTATTTTTTACCAATTTCCTTCACTTCTTCTGTTCATAAAGTATTGAAATTATTTTTAAATTATAATTACGTGAAGAAATCTAGCAATTCAATTCAAAAATATCACAATGTCTGACAGTGATCACAAAAGATGGAGTCATTTGAAGAAGATCTTGGAACGTTCCAGTCCGTTCTGTCATCCTGATTTTGAACCTGGCACAGGCATATTAGAATTTTTACAAAATTCATGTAAACTGCTTGTGGTTGGCGCTGGTGGATTGGGCTGTGAATTACTTAAAGATCTTGCAATGATGGGATTTGGTGACGTACATGTTATAGATATGGACACAATAGACTTGTCTAATCTAAATCGTCAGTTTTTGTTCCGTAAGAAAGATGTAAACAGTTCCAAAGCAGAGGTTGCAGCAAAATTTATAAACGAACGTGTTCCTACATGTCGTGTTACACCTCATCATTGTAAAATACAAGACAAGAGCGAAGATTTCTACAGGAATTTTCATTTTGTAGTGTGTGGTCTTGATTCTGTTGTTGCTCGTCGATGGATTAATGGAATGCTTATATCTTTGCTATCATACGATGACAACCAGGAACTTGACAATTCCACAGTAATACCATTGATTGATGGCGGCACTGAAGGTTTCAAAGGCAATGTGCGTGTTATAATACCTGGAATCACACCTTGTATTGATTGCACCCTAGACTTATTTCCACCTCAGGTAATATGTTTTATTCAAAATATAATCATTAGTTTTTAAGTTATTTCGTTTATATGTGCAGAGGAAGCTCAATTTTCAAGTAAATATTTTTCTTAATGCTGGCTGTAGCATGTAAATATTTTATAATTCAGTTTTTTAAAAAAATTGTTCTGATTGCACTATCTTAATCCTTTAATTCCTATTACAGATTCTTATACAGTAAATATAAAACTTGTCCTTAGACCTTAATAAATACTTCCTTACCTTAAAATAGAACGTTTTAATTAATTTTAAAAAAAAATTGGGATAAAAACACAACTATTGTAGTTTAAAATAAATATTGATAAACATACTTAATCATCAAATCATTTTTGTGTACTACATTTTATGATATTATATATAGTGTATACACCTAATACTACTGTCTATTGATGGACTATAGTTGTGATATTGTGTTATAAATATTAATTGGAACACCAATATTGTTAAAACCTTGTCAATGATTTAATTTTTTAATTGCAAATATGAAATATTAATATAATCACTATAATATTAACATTTACTAGCAACATAGCAAATTCCAAAATTTGTCTTGACTAAAGTGTGTACCAAAGGAAATTAGTTTATGAACAAACAAATTAATGTTGATATTATTTAATATAAAATAATCTGAATACATTAATTTTATTCTATGAATTAAAATTACACATTTTTTAAACTATTAATAAAACTGCTAATTCTAATAATTTCAGAATAGACATAGGTATGCTATTTATTTACATGGTTACAAATGTATGAATGATTCTTAAAAAGAAAACCAGCCAGGTAATCCAGGACGGTTCCCTTGTTTCTTCAAATAGTCTTTGTACAAATCTTGGCTAGCTTGGCTTGATTTTTCATCCTCAGAGGCACGTTTTTTAAATTCTTCTGAAGTACATACTTCAGGAAATTCAAATTCTTGATCTCTAGGCTACAAAATTAAAATTAAAATTAACTTCTAATAATTAAATTTAGTTTAAAGTTGTTGCTTGCCATTGTAACAAATGCTCGTCTGAAGTCATCTTCCTTTACAATAGGCCCGTATTTGTTCAAAATTGCTCTTTTCATTTTACCTGTTACATATTTTATTATAAACATATAAACATATTGGTGTATTTTCTATATTAATAAATATTTCATTAAGATTTTACCATTTTCAATACTGGATTCAACTTTAATAACTTTAATTTTATAAATTTTTTCTAAATAATTCTCTATATCATAATTTGTCATTCCAGTGGGTACCATAAATTGAACTACATTTTTTGGTTGTTTTTCTTCCGGTCGCACTAATTTCATCCAAAAATTTGGCAAAAAAATACGTAGTTGAGGATTGCCTCTTTGATAAAGTGGATACCTGCAACATTTATTAAATATTTAATTCAATTTTATAAAACTAAACCAGCATTAAAATAATATATTGATTTATTTTACCAAACACTTGTACTCATATAATTATCAATTTATTTCTTAATTCTATTGTATACATACCATCTGGTAGACATGATGTATAGTTTTTAAATGCACCTTTTAAGATAAAACAAACTCCTTTTCTAATTTTATTAAAAATTTAATTGCTATAAGCCAATAAGTAATTATTATTTTCTAAACATTTAAAAATTATTTTATACCTAGCTTGTGTTTTATATTGTGCACCCGCCACCCAGCAATATGCATTCATGCAATAATGCGTGTGATAATGTGATGATAATATTAGATTTTTTAGCTGATACGTATTATCACTTATCAGTAATTTAGGCCTTGCATTTTGTATATTATATAACCTCCTTGAGCAGTATTATTACTAAATGCGGCAATTTTGAATTTCCCTATTTCAATTCAAAATGCACACAGGATTTAGTAAAAATTGTTCAGAATAAAGATAGACCACTAAAGTTATGATTAAACATTTATATCTTCAATTTATTAGTTTAATTATTAAATCACCTACAATGAAAAACTTGCCTTGGATAATCGCTCTCGCCAATTACGTTATCTTCTCACATTAACTTAAAAAAACAAGCTACTATTATACAAACTCCTACTCAAACCGATCTAGACATACGGTATCCAACTCTGGAGTGCAACCAAAAAGTCCAACTTAAACAAAATCCAAGTCTTCCAATCAAAATATCTCCGCCAAATACCTAAACCCCCCCTACTATGTATCTAACGTCACTCGACAAAGAGATCTAGCCATTCCAACAGTCCAAAACGTCGCAAAAACTTTCTGCAAACTCCAAGCTCCACAGCTATTATAATCCCCTGATTTCCGAGCTATCCACTAACGCTATTCCTAGTGACATCAAAAGGCATCTTAACCCAGGTAGGTGACCTACTTAAATAAAATTGTATGTACCTCTATTTCCCCTTAATTTTGTATTCAATCTCACTCTCTCTTGCTAGCACATTAAAATAAACTCCCTACCCTTAAGCGCCTCCAATGGTCTGCTTCTTATCTCCTGCCACTCTAGCCATGTCACCTCCATCATATACCCTTATTGTATAATAATATTTACAGATTGTGTATTTTTATAATAAATTATAAAAACAAAATAGTTTTAAATAGTCTCTTTCCTCATGTTATATTATAGTTAATTTATTGTGTACATTGTAAATTTATCTCATTTACTTCTCATGCCGATATACACATATTGTAAATATTCCTTGTATCCAAAAATTAATTGTTATTTTTTTTTAACCCCATTAGATTAACCTTTGAATATGGTTTCTGTTGAACACTTAAATTTTGTTTTTTAAACTTTTGGCTGTAGGTATCTCTAATCTTTATCATTGTTGAATGTTTGATTCAGTACACTTGCAAGGTATTTTATGAAGCCATTTGTATGTAGTATGAAATTCTGTATCTATTAAAATGGTTAATACATTTTAAAATGTCCAAAGACATATTTGATTTATACAGTATTAATCTAGGACCTAGGTATCCATTGTTTGAAAAAAAAAATGTACAGGTTTTTAATATAATTTTTATGAGGATTTTATACTTAGTTGTGGTTATAGACTGTATCGGGAATGTCTACAAAGAATCAATTCAAGTTAAGTCTGGTGTCTTTTAATTCAATAGATTTCAATATTGCACCTTTCTATTCCTCATTAGTTAAAAAATTATTCTATAAAAAGGATGTTGTCCTTGAATTCAAATTCATGTATACAATAAATTTATAAATTTGTTTGTAATTATTTGTTAATGGGCAGAATTTTAAAAAAGCAGTAATATTAACCATACATTTATTTATAGGTGACTTATCCATTATGTACCATAGCAAGTACACCTCGTTTACCTGAACATTGTATAGAGTATGTGAAATTAATACAATGGCCAAAAGAAAACCCATTTGATTCTAACATTGATACAGATGATCCAATTCACATTAGTTGGATTTATGAAAAATCCCTTGAACGTGCTGATGAATTTGGTAAGTATTTAAATTTTAAATTAATTATATCTAAGTAAGTAATTGATTATTAATCATAAAATATTTCTTTGTACATTAGGAATAAATGGAGTTAATTATCGATTAGTTCAAGGTGTTATTAAAAATATAATACCAGCTGTAGCATCAACAAACGCTGTGATAGCTGCAGCTTGTGTTACGGAGGCTTTCAAAGTGGCTACTAGCTGCTGTCCATTATTAAATAATTATGCTGTGTTCAATGATGCTGATGGTATATACACCTACACATATGAAGCCGAACGCAAACCTGATTGTATTACTTGCAGTCCATATAAAGCCAAATATCTTGATATCGATGACACAAATATGCGGCTGGAAAAAATAATTGAAATACTTGGTGAACACCAACAGTATCAGATGAAGAACCCTGCACTCACTGTAGAATTGGATGGGAAAAGGAAAACACTGTACATGCCAAATGTGCCTTCCATTGAATTAAAAACTAGGCCAAATCTAAAAATGACACTTGAACAATTAGGCATTGCTGATGGATGTAAATTATTAGTTGCTGATATTACAAACCCTAGAGCTTTTGAAATTATTCTTAAAATCAAGAACAACTGTGTTAGTATGGAATAATATACTTGTTTGATTTTTTACTTTAATAATATTCTGTAATAAATATTTGAATACAATTATTATAAACATTAAACTTTTCAGTATATTACAGATTTTTATCATTATTTACTATTTATTTAAATTGTATACTGTTAATCAACCAACTATTATTATTTTAAAATCCAATTTTTATATAGGAGTTGTGTTCCATATTTCATCTGGTTGTTTTCTAACTATCAAAAAAAATATTTAATGACAAAAATAAACATTTTAAAGTTTGAACATCATGCATTTGAGTATATTAATTTCTAAAAAACATCTCGTTATATATCATTCAGTTCAAACTATTAATTATAAAAACCAAGATAATGGCCAGATTTACTGACTTGATTACAGTAGACTATTATAATAAGTAGTATGATGGCATTACATTAGGACATTTTTCCCCAGAAAATATAATAACATAAACCTATAAAAATTAAGAAACTGTTATATTATTATTAAAATTAAAAATATTATTTTTATTATCAACTAGCTGATCTTGCACGGTCGGTGCTGCTTGTGGCAAATTAAATAATGCCAGTGGATATACTCTGTCTCAAACTCCATTATATCCAAACTATATATATTTTGAACAGTCATTTGGGTGGTTCTGACCAAATATAAAATATAGGTCTGAAATTTCATACTAGTTCAATAACTTTTTATAATAAAATTATATAATATAATTATATAATATTTTCATAAATAATGACAATCCTATATCAACAAAACAGTATTTATTTTTATGGGAAACGTGAAAAATGTTGTTCAACTTTTTGTGGGAACATTAATTGTCCCTTAAAAATGCAAAATTAAAAGGTTGACTTTGAAATACACATCTTTGGGTATAGAATTGTCTATGTACCAAATTTTAGAACCATAAGTGTAATAAACTTAGATGTGGAAGCTTATACTCACACTAACACAAACATTGCTTACCTATTATATTTTATTTATTAATATACATAACTATTCTAATTTCAGTACCTTGTTTCAATAAATTATTATATTTTTTTCTGATTTTTGAGACAAAGTAAACAATTTAGGTTTATTATCAACAATGTAGTCTTTTCTGGTATTTTTGTGTGTAATGGCATTCATGTTATACATCAATATTTGCTTTATCAAATAATCATATTGCTATTTTGATTTTGATTTTTGAAGAACCGCTATGAATAGATACCCAAATGTTCAGTTTGTTTAAACTATTCAAGTGTTAGAATTTGTAATGCCATTTATAAATGTATTTTTTACATCAAATTAATAAAAATAAATATTACGTGTGTATATTCCAAAATGTCCTTTCTCAGACAATATTTGTTCCTCCTATAGTCATATAGTTGAGTTTCGAACACATATTTCAATAATTTGAATGAATTAATGTGTGTAAAGTTCGTTGGACATGTATAGAATAATTTAAATTATACATGTCATAGTTTCCTGTGATTTGAATTGAAATATTTCAACACAATTGCTGCATCTATAGACTCTAGAGACTTTCATTTCGAGGATAAAAATTCCGTGGTCCTAAAGTCTACCGTGTGGTAGGACTGTGGGAGGGGGGAGATATGCATCTTTCTGATAAGCATAATATGAGTTAGGTAATGAATACCTATAATGTGGCTAAAAAATCCAGTGTTTGCCGCTCGCGGATCTCGGGGCTCAAAATTTAATTCGTTCATGTTTACATTCAATACATAAAAAACGAAGTCTTTAACGTTCGCTTTTTTTTTAAAATAACATGTTTATTTATGTTCACGCTCTTAAATAAAAATGAACATTCATTGAGTTATTCATTTAATTTTTTATTTTATAAACCGTTGAATAAAATGTTGAGAAAAAAAAATCATTTTTAAAAAGGCAGAAAGTAGGTGCAAATGTTCCTCGTGGCTCATCATTGAATAGGTACCTAAGTCATTGTAATGTAGGTGCCTATATGATAAATTTGAATTTAATATAAATCATTGTGTACGAAAAACGATTCTTAGTGGTTACTAATAGACAACAGTCAGTCGATATTTCTAAAGCGGCGCATCCCAAACGGCTCCTATCCATTGTTTGCTTATTCCCAATCAGCTCCCGTTCTAAAGATGTATTACTATATGTATTCTATATTCAGATCCGTATTTAGGAATTTGTCGCCCTGGGGCGGGATTTCCCAGTTTCTGCCAAAATTTGAAATGACCGATTCCGCCAATTTAAAAAAGGTTCGATTGCCGTTTCCGCCAATCTACCGTCTACGGCGGTAAAATTATTATATATATTATTCCATATTTTTGGTTCTGATTTTCTATAAGAAACTTAAATACATGAAAATTCAAAATTTTCTCCATCAAACAGTTTTACAAATCACACCCAAATATAAGTATATTTTTAAAAATGTTGGTTAATTTGAAATTTGTCGCCCCCTCATAATCAGCCGCCCGGGGGAACAACATCCCATTAAATTTCCCCCTCCCTCCTAAACACGGCTCTGCCAATAATATTTATGTAGCCTAGACTTCGCGTTCTACTTCTGGCCTCACTGGAGGTCATGGCTTTTCTGCCACCTGCCTGATTCCCTCCTCCTCTGATTTGTTCATGACGATCTTCTCCATCGTTTTGTAGAATATCCTGAACGGCTCTTCAGCTTCTACTCGAAAGAAAGCTCTGTCTTCTTGGTTCTCTGGTAGAATTGTTAGATCCTCAAAAACCGAGCCGCACAGGGTATCGGGGACATCAGCGAACCCTGTCGAATGTTTAGGTCCACTCTGAACCTACCCCAGAGTGGGAAATTTAAACAGTATGCGTTCAGCTGCAGTATCCTCCACACAGCAGCAGTATACATTCAGTATAGGCTGGTCATTGCGATAGAGGTTGAGCTGAAAACACAAATACCCAGTGAGCACATGTTTTATGGCTGATTTGTGAGCCGTGAGGTATACGAATGACATTTTATCTAGGAATTTTCGGAATCGTCCTTCCATCCACCGAAGAAGATGGAGTGAGGCCTGAATCATTGTTTAGGTAAATAACTGTATCATGTATGTGTTAAAATTGAAATCGATAACATATTATTGCATACATACCATTATAGGAACCTGTGTACGAAAAACGATTCCGAGCAAACTTGCCTCAGCCAAGACGGTATGTCGGTCTGTCAGCCTATATAAATAATTTACTTATGTTATAGTTATAAGTAACTATTGTAAATTTGTAACTATATAAGTAAGGATTTTTCATGATATTTGCTATTCAAGTAATTAATTATCCTATAAGTATCTACGGACTACCGTACTACCGTAGGTTCATTAGTCATTACCTAAAGTATAACTTTATTATAAATTATATAAATATAATGAATTTCCAATAAAAATTATGAGACTTAATAGTTATTATGTTAAGACTTAACATGCATTATATAAACACCAATATGAGTCTTATTTTAGAATCGAAATTTTAAGAATGTTCAAACATCATTAATAAATTAATATATATTTCATTATTTTATCAATTGGTTGATATAATAACATTTTAACATTATAATGTTCACGTCGTGTTGTTTGCAAAATATGGATTAAATGCGTTCACGATTGCGTTCTGTATAAACACTGTTGGAAATATACGAGTATATCAGTAAATTAAAAGTATTGACTTACCTACAAAGGTGCAATTAGGGGTGACTTCGCCTCCCAGACAAATGTCCTTGGCTGCACCTATGCATACCTAGTATAATATAAAGGTAGGTACCTACTATAATAAATAATACAGTATTGCACATGGAGAAAAAAGAAACTGATTTTTTGTCAATGGAATGACAATATAGCGAGGATTGCAGTAGTGAGGATGTAATATACAAAAATATCACTCGTCAAATGCATTTTATTTTATTTGTCTATACAACCATAAAGGCACATATTTTTACATTAAAAGTTATAATATTTAGTAAACGAACCTACGATGATATTGAGGAAGCTAAAAAAATAAATAGTCATATGATACAAAACAATTTACACGTATACATACAATGTGTAATATAAATAACAATGCGTCCGTTTATACGACAATATATATAGTAGATGCTATACCTAAACGTACAAAAGGTAAAAATAAAACAATTTTGCAATAAATATTATATTATTAACTAGTACCACTTATTTTTAGATATTAGCAGCGGAATAATTGACAATCGTTTCCAAGTAGATTCGACAAACAAAAAAAAAATCACTAGAACGATACAAAAAAGGGAGTAAATATTATATATCCGGAGCGTGATATTCGATTCGATTGACGTGATACGAGCTGCGGGGTGAAACGTTACACGTAGGCACATGGGCGCGAATAGCCCAAACATTTGTGGAGGATTAAAGTCTGCGCCGTTTTCCACGAAAGTTGCATTTGACACACTTTCAAAGAAATGTCGGTGGGTTGGGAGTGGTTTATATCCCGAAGTCCCCAGACGTTTTCCGTCCTGTTTGAGCCCGCCGCGCCGGTAGGAGGGCTTGTGCTGAGTGTACTGAACGGTGCATATAACATACAGCTATAGTCATACGAATATACTTAAATATTATATACTACATTATACGATCTATGATGTCCATATAATGTAGTATTGTACCTAGACGTGTGTTTCCCCCGGGATACGTTTCAGAAACAGTTCGTCGGTAATAAATTATAAAATACTTACGATAACTAATATTACTATATACATTATACACAAACACACACACACACACACACACACACACACATACACACACAATAACATGTACAAAAGTGAAAAAAAAAATAAAAAGTTCAATAATTTTTGGCATACAATTCGTTTGAAGACTGTTTTTGGGTCATATAGGTACATCATTTCGAGGGCCGGAATGTCACTAACCAGTGTTAGGGTACGCGACGTGCAATGGACGTAAACATAAAAAAAAAATTGATAAATCACAACAGTTCGAAAACTATATAATATATTAAATATATATTATGAAGAGCACGCGCGATCGATCAGTTCGTGTCCATCCAACTGGCCGGTATTGCGTAGTCGGATATGGCGTACAGCATCCGCGGGTACCAGTGTATGCCGTCGGCGGGCGGTACCGCTTCGATCGCCGGCGACAGTGACGGCGCGTCACGCAGCGGATGGCCCAGCCGCCAGACGAAGCTGTACAGTGACGTCCGGACGGCGGCCAACGCGCGGACAGGCAGGAACGCCAGGTGCGCCAGCCACTGGCTGTCGAGGACGGCGTAACACGACGCCACGACGTCGTCCACGACGACGGTGCCGTCGACTGTCAGAGGCGCGTAAAGTCCGACTTTCTCGGTGTGGCTCACCGCGACCACGCGCTCCGCTCGCAGTCGTAGCTGGCCTCGGTCGCCGGTGATCACCGTCAGCAGCGTGTCGTTGACGCGCACACTTTTCGCGTACACCGGGTTCGCGTATCGGATCTGCGACCGTTCCGGTTTCTCCCACCGGAGCACCAGGTGCGTGGGCGTCGCCGTTATCGACTTGCCCGTGTCCGTCACCAGCGTCACGTACTCGGTCCGCGCCGTCACGCTCCGGTCCAGGAACAAGAGCACTTCGCTAGGCCGGAGCAGCCCGTCGTTGGACAGCGCCAGTACTGACTCGCCGACCCGCAGGTCTTTCATCTGCTTCTTCACGCCCGCGGCTGTCGTCACTACACTGTCACCGGGGAAACAGCCCATCGTCCTCGTGTTGATTTTCGTCTCTGCAAAACACAAAATAATGTTATTATTTCGATTAGAACTTGGGTCAGGTTTAGGTATACTTATAAGTATATTATGTACAGGGTGTAAAGAGAGAAAAAATTCCAGAGGGGACTAATGTCTCCAAATAGTTTTAAGCGTTCCATGTTATATAATGTCTATAATGTATAAAATCCTAATTTGTTAAAGGGGGCGCCTTTTAACCGTCGTCAGAGGTAGGGGGACTGAGTAGTGAGTACTCTTGCGTCCCCCCCCCACTTTTTAACCCCTGATTATATAGGTATTATGTAGGTAAGAAGTAGGTATAAGTTAATGTTGTATAGGTAATTATTCGTATCCCATATGCCGTCGTTAAAGCCTCGTAAATCGCGAGAAGTAACTTGTAAATAATTCTCAACCTAAAATATTGCGATGATCACGTACAAAAAGAGCGTTGTCGAGTTTAGCTGCAGTGCAATATAGGTACACACGCGATCCGTTTGAGCTTGGCGGTAATCGCGCGGTAAATTAGCGATTCAAACGAGTGAAAAATAACTGCTTATATATAATATACTGTTTGCCTTCCCGGTGTAGATTAATCGCTGTATACACACACGCGCGGGAACGAGAAAAGATCGTAGCCACTGATTTGTCTGGTTTTTAAACGCCATTAAAAAACACTAATAATAAAAAAAAAAAATAATAATAAATGATTTGGAGTGGTAGTAGTGGTGGTTTGTTTGTTTTTTTTTTTAAACATCATCTCTGTTTCTCACTGCAGCCGTCGTGCGACCACGATAAATTAGTTAATGAGATAAAAAGGGCAATAATTCTTTTCCGTCCGTGCGGCGTGCACCACTATTATATTATACATTTAAGTATGTATATATATATATATATATATATATACATTCATTTATACCTCCATGTAGGTATGTATTATTATATGTATACGCGACGACCACGACCATGTTCACCTTCCACGGCGTATGGCCATCACACACCAACATCTGTGATCTAATCGCCCTCGGGACCCGCCGCTGCGGGTGAAGAAGTATACCGATGCTAATAGTAATAATAATAATGATAATAATAATATTAGTAGTAACAATAGTAATAATATATAGTGTAACGATATTCATTTCTGAGTTTCCGAAAAACCGGATTGTCTCGCGGAGCCGTAAACACGAGGCGTTCGGTGTAGTTCGGCTTGAAGAGGGACATCGAATACTATTATATACGACATTAAATACGTGTTATTACAATATTATATTATGCTATACAGCGACGGATAGTTCACGGGTGCCCTAGGGGGCAATAAACATAAAACGGACACTTGCAGCGCGACGCGTCGAGAGGGACGGATTTAGAAGACGGAGCATAATATTATACACCGCACTGCGGCAACCGGGCGCGCGCGCTCACGCTTAATGATACGACGCTGTTGAGAGGAGGCATTTAAGTCTTATTTTTTACGAGTTTTCTCTTCTCCCGACGTTCACATAACATTAATAAAACGATACGTTATTATGTACGTGTATAGTATTATTATGAGTAAATAAGCATAATACACTGTAATAGTTCATGTATATAATAGGCAATAGCCACTATCATATAATGTATAATAAAGGTATTGTATTTACGCTCGACGTGCATAGAACAAAAAATAAATGGACGCATTTCAACGTTTTCGTGTACTGGACATTTTCTCACTCGCAAAACGTACCCAAACGTAAATTGCACGGTTCTTGTATTTACGAGCCTAATGTACCTACATAATATTATACATAGGTTAGGTTAGGTTAGGTACCTACTGGGATATACGGACGTGCGTTTTTCGTCCGACGAGAGAATCGTATATTTTTTTAACTTCATCCGATCAAGTAATTCAGGGGCTTCTCTATCAGTACAAATTACAAACAGGCCACCACTTCTCACGTCGAATGTATAAAATATGAACTCATATGGGTCATTTGACCTTCTGCCGGACCCCTCGCTGTACATAATATATTATATAGATCCGCCACTCCCCAATTCATGAACATATACCTATATATTATAATGGTTAATAGGTATTATATATATATATAGGTCTTTGAAACCGATACGTTTTATACGAGATAATGCGTATATTACTTATTACCTCGTCCGTCCTCCGATGTATAGCATGCAGTTGTGTAGGTACTCACATAAGGTATACCGTAAATCGTCACATACGAAAACGAAAATTTAAACATTCTATGCCATCTATGCCTATATCGTAGGACTTATCTACATTATACAGATAATGTATTTCTTAAAAAACTGACTAGAGAAGAAACCGACGAGACATATCACATTAAATAGTTGTGCCAGTTGCGGCTGTATAAATTATTATATAGGTATACTACTCAACGCTTTTGACGTTCTTGAATGCAACTATATGTATTGAATTCCGGAACCAAATACCAATCGCTGTCTTATGAGAACTTAGTTACTATATAATCTATAGTATAGCTAGATTGTTGTAATGTTCATCAGTGGATGTATTGAAATTAATAGTACATTTATTACATGTATGTATACGCCCGGTAAGGCGATAACGTTTATATGGTTGATTGAAAATATTGACAGTTTTCCGTACACAATTTTCATAGATTGAGTGTTTTCGGGAAGTATATTTGAGTATTATGCATAGGTATAAAATATTACACCTGTCACGCATTTAAACTTTTCGGTGTTAACAGTTTAACAGCATTTTTTCTAAAACAAAGAATCTGATATTCGAAGACGTTCTATTTTTTTTTAATGATATATTATGCACTTTGTGTTCAATAAAGCTGCAATTACGGCTTGCAAGAGATAATTAATGGTTTTTGTTTGTACTACAGGCATTCAATACTGCTTTTTCCTCACGTACAAAAATACATCGAGTGCACATATGACATAATACATATATTACACGAATATAATATGAACCATGAACGCACAGGCGTTCTAATAGCTATTTCAATACCTAGTACTGTAAAACTATGAATATATCGTGTACAGTGTACATCGAATAAAGCATAAACAGTTGTTGTTTTAGTTATCTTGAATAATACATATCATTAGTAAAAGCAACTGCGGAGCTGATAAACGAATATGAATGATTATAATGAGTATTTACAAAATAAGTAATAATTTTTATTTGTTTTTTTTCCAGTTTGTCGGAGAATGCTTAACAGATGAAACAATAAATTAACCACACAGCTTGGCGGCCGAAACGCGAGTATATACATAATATAGTATCAGTGTATTACCTACCTACATAATATATAAATAAATACCTACATTGTATATCTAATATAAGTGTTGTAGCAATAATAGTCATTATGAAGAGAAAATCCAATTTAAATATTTCGTTTGGAATTTTTGTGGAGATTATAATATTATTATGTACACACCTATTATTATTTTTTCTCTGTAAAATTGAAAATCGTGTAAATATTTATCTTTTGTACGGCGATCAAAACACGTGAAGCATATAATAATAAATGTAATAAAAACATTATACATATTATAATGGAAATGTACTGCAGTGCGGAATTCTGGACCGGAATATTATTAGGTATAAACGGGTGAGCATGTGCGAGAGTGACGACTGAGTGCACGGGCGTGTGTATATATTATACAGTCCTCACAGTACGCGGCGATGGAAATCCGCGAAAGGATGCATCAGATTGTTATTATATTATTATAATATTTTATAAAGGGTAATAATATACGTGACGACAAACGGCGGGGAGGCGCGTATACATAAATAAGCTATATACATGTATTATATATTGATGTCCATTCACAACGCTATTATTATACGTATGTAGTGTCGGTACCTATATTATGTATAAAATGATGGCATTGTGTATTTGTGTACGCGAGGTAGGCAGTCAGACTGCAGGTAGGTATGAGATAGGTTGGTTGGCAGGCAGGTAGGTAGTTACCTATATCGTCGTTATAATAACGTACACAGCGAATAATAATACATATATAAATAAAAATACGCATGCACAGGACACGGGTACACCGCGATGGTATATTTATAAATATATGTGTAAGCGCATGTATGTATCGTACGTGCGGTAATAGTGCATGTGTTATTATTATTATTATTATTATTACGCTAGTACCTATGTATACCTATTACCAGTTATACCTATTACCAGCCATCTACCAGCGAGCGCGCGCGCGCGCGCGTGTGTGTGTGTGTGTGTGTGTTATAGAACATATAATATACGCTCGCTATGGGTAAACACGGGATAAAACGAAAAGGTTAATCGTATGCACTGCGTATATATAATATTATTGTATACACATGGGCAGTAGGTACGTATAAATATGTACATGTGTGTGTGTATATATATATATATATATATACACGGTAGGTTTAACGAGTTGTGGGATTCTAGTTTTGGACAGGTCACGATCGCCTATTATTTGATGTTTGGAAAAAAATAGAGGATAAAAAAGAACAACAAATTATGCACCATCATCCCTTGTACGAGTTTGTTCGGAGTTTGCTTTACACTCACCGCACGAGTCGTGTTTACATAAACATACGCTTCTCTCGCGTCGCCGTCGTATACCCGTGTATTTATATAATAGCGCGAGTATACACGCGCGCGGCGTGTACGTATATATATATATATAGGTATGTATATATTATTATTATTTTATATAGGTATACACAATATACACTCGTACAAGTCGTACATAGGTATACGCACTGTTTGTTCTCCAGTAAAATAATAAGTATCGGGAGGGGGGGGGGCGATGGAGGAGGAGGTTTTGAGAAAAAGTGATTTTGTTTTCGGTCTCCCCCGTATTAAATTATGTATAGTACGCTTTATATAGGTACACACCGCCGCCGCCGTCACCGTGTCATGCCAGACGGCCCTGCACAGAGACGGTCTTGTGGTCGTGTATGTGCACGATGCAGTGTAATCGGATCTTGGCGTGACATACAAACGAAAGCCGGACACCGATCCGCATAGTTGTGGCCGAA